GGGGGGGGGGGGGGGGGGGGGGGGGGGGGGGGGGGGGGGGGGGGGGGGGGGGGGGGGGGGGGGGGGGAGATCCCATATGAAAAAGTGGGGATGCTCGTTGGAAATTTATATTAAATCAGAAACCTATAGGCTCCTGATTGAAGACCTAAAGGGGATCAATCTGGGCGTGTCTCGGGATTTATTTGACCCCTTAGAGATACACTTAAAACGGAATAGGTTCGATTACCAGCCGCTGATCAGGAAAGGAGCCCACGCTAGTAGACTGTACTCGAGAGACTGGCAGAAATCGAGCCTACAAACGGAAATAAGAGCGTTCCTTTACTATTATTTCTTCGATTGCACCCTAAAAGATACTTTGACAGCTAAAAAGTAGTGGCGCTTCGTCATGATCACCCTAAGTGAGATCAGAATCCTTAATTTATATCCCTAAGCAAAACAACGAGTATCCCCGACATTTTCAAATTGCAGCGCCCTCCCCCATCCCCCGCCCCCGAGACTGAAAACAACCCAGATAAAGAAAAACCCAGAAAAAAACAGCCGTTGCAGTTGGTGACTGAGGCTCGCTCCCGGGGGGAGGGGTACCCCCTTATATGGGCTATATAGGTATGTGCGGCCCCAAAGGGTATGGCTTTTCAGCCGTTTTGGTCATAAATAGGGTATGGTTGTTGCACTCTAGCCTTCATATGGGTAAGTTTTTAAGAAGAAGCCACTTTTTCATCATTATCGAAAAGAAAAACAACAAAAGCCCTTCACAAATTATGTTTATGGTAACTTAACATTGGTCTGAACTAGGGAACCAATCATAACGCAGGTCTGAAACAGGGTTTTGATTTAAGGGTTAGATCATAAATAGGGTTTCGAATTTTTGGTCAGGTCATAAATAGGGTAGGGAATATCGCAGATTTTGGTCATAAATAGGGTAAGGGTGTTGGGAAGCGGGCCGCACACCCCCACTCAATTTTTCTGGAAGTACCTCCCCCGGGGCTCGCTACTGACAAACTCATTATCTGTTTGGCTCAACAAGCGCTTACTCTTGATCGATAGAAACTTAAGCTCGGATGTTGATAAAAGATGGTTTAACTTGGGTGTCAATGAATAAAAATTCAACCGTAAACCGTTATCTGGACTAAAATACGAAGAGGTCATGCTAAAAAAGAGTTTGTTTACCTGAGTAGAATCAGTCATTTCTCCACTTGAAGATATTCGTCCATGTCTCATACTCTGAGCCTAAAAATCACAACGAAAGAAATCAGTAAACACCTCCAGCGAAGATTTTGGAAAAAGAGAAGTACTCTCAGTCTCCAATCCCGAGAATTGGAAAGAAGCGATCTTCCTTTTATGACTTTTACTACCAGTATATAACTGCATTATATACTGGTGAAAAACGCGGGAAAAATTGAAAGATGGAAAGCGCGGGAAACATGAAACGGGTAACAAGATCGAGAGAAACATGTACTGGCTTCTAAACGCGGGAAAACACGTAACCGATGGCAACGGCGCGAAACTTGCACCTGAATGTCAACAAAAATATCGGACCAGGGTATTGGACGATTCAAATTTCGGACAAAAAAAAGCGTCCGAAAATTTTAAGCGACCGAAATATTTACAGTACTTTATAAACCTTTTAGTGGCTCCAAAGTTCTTAGTTTTCTTCATGGGGCGAACTCTAGCTGAAACTTCTTGAGATACGTAACGGTTTGATGGAATTTGTGTTATATTCTCGTCCGCAGTGTCACAAGATCTCTAAAACCTTGAAAGTGTAGTGAAAACTTTAATTTTCACAGATGCTGTTTCAAACTAATTCAACTTTTGGAGGCGTAAATTTACTTTGCTATAATTCAGCAATTGAAGTGCCCGAAATTTTAGTCAGAAATTTGTCCGAAATGAGATAAAAAGTGTCCGAACATTAAACGTGCGAAATCAGGAACGCCCAAAACCTAAACGTCCCATTTTTTTTCATGTAGATCAATTTCTAACTTCTCTTTAGTTCAGATAAAACAACCTGAAGTCTGAAACGTGTAGACCAGAAAAAGTTCTGACGGACAGGCAAATTTTTTCATAAGAACACAGAGAGAACAAAACAAACATCAGGGAGAATTAAGATGCTGAAAGTGGAAATCAGAGTTGATACTCACTTTTTGTCTGAAGTACTCCGGCGAGAGTCCTTCGAGGTGCAAGATCTTTTCCTCGAGATCGGCGAGTCTTTTGTACACGTCACATGGAACAGGCCTCCCTAGACATGACCACAAAAGTAATAAAATATATGTTTGTGGTACGTATCAAGTGGGTTTTGCCTCAAAGGAGATCGAAAGGGGTTGGCCGGCGGTGGGGGGCGGATCCCGTTTCCCGTATAAATTTTAACAAATATTTAGGGCAGCAGGGATGGCACAGTGGTGAGAGCACTCACCTCCCACCAATATTCCAGCTCGGTACCACATGTGGGTCGAGTTTGTTGTTGGTTCTCGCCTTGCTCCGAGGGTTTTTCTCCGGGTTCTCCGGTTTTCTTCCCTCCAAACAAAACTTCTCCAAATTCCAATTCGACCAGGATAGAGGACCTGCATGAAAACCAACTAAGGCTGATGTGGCTCCTCTCTAAATATTTGCCCATGCCACGTGTCACGCATATACCTCTTACCACCCTCTACTCAAGCAGGCCCAAATGAGACTCACGCGGCCCCACGCGACCATCTGATGACAATTATCGCTGGAGTCAGCTGGTGATACTCGATGAGCGCCAAAACAAGTAAACAAGAGCTTCTAAAGTTTCAGCTACTCTAGTACAAGCTTTGCCCATCAGACTTAAATTAGTTATCTTTGATTGCACAATTCTACTTCCAATCTTTTCAGGGAAGACTTGTACTTGGGAGTTGCAATAGCCCCTCTACTAACTATGAATAGCCGGACTATCAGCTACAACCGAACAGTGACAAAATTGAAGTTAAAGTTGAGAAAGTGAAATTGATAAAATAATGTAAATTTGTACGCGGTTATTTTTTGGGAGAAAATTTCACCGCCTTAGAAGGACTCTAGAAGGTCGCGTTTATCTTGAGACTCTTAGATACCGAAAAGATCAAGCTTGAGGAAAGAACGGATCGAAATTCTGCATATTTAGCATCATAATTATGCAAATAATTATGACTCATTACAATAATAAAAACCTTTTGTTCTCAAGCAGACCAATCAAAAATAGGGATATGTTTTCTGAGAGGTCCGACTCACAATTATAAAAAAACCCTCGCTCTAAGTTTTCTAGTATGTTTATTACTTCAGTAAGCCAAGAGAGTATTCTTGCTGTTTGTCTTCAAGAAGTACACGAATTATGTCTGGTAGAGGAAAGGGAGGAAAAGGTCTCGGGAAAGGGGGTGCCAAACGTCACCGTAAGATTTTGAGAGATAACATCCAAGGCATTACCAAGCCAGCCATCCGTCGTCTCGCTCGCCGTGGCGGTGTCAAGCGAATCTCTGGCCTCATCTACGAAGAGACCCGTGGAGTTCTCAAAGTTTTTCTTGAGAATGTCATCCGTGATGCTGTGACGTACACCGAGCACGCTAAGAGGAAGACCGTAACAGCCATGGATGTGGTGTACGCTCTCAAACGCCAAGGACGTACTCTGTACGGATTTGGCGGCTAGATTCACAAAGCACCTAGAAGAAATCTAGCACAACGGCTCCTTTAGGAGCCACCACATCTCTCGAAAGTCATGATCAACGAATGTATTTCCGTTAAGTTGACAATTTTTTTTATTATGCCAGTCAGTACTGTAACAATATATCTGCAGTCTTCCACACACTCCCTGTTCAAAAGAAATTTACCCCAAGTTCGCTTCCCTCAAGTTGAAAACCTACGCGCGCGAATCGAGTCGTCATCGTGGTGCGAAACTGACTTTCGCGTTGGCACTCGAGTGTCGATCGCTACCAAGTGCCGGTCTTTCGCTCCGCCTAAACGTCGTTCCTGTCCCTTGAAAGGAAAAGTGAATTAGTTCATTGCAAATTGGCTAAATTACGGTAACGGCGTTCGTAGGTTTCTCAAATCACAAATGACAAGCTTACGATAACTTTGGCGGCGATGGCGAATTTTGTTTCCCGCTCAAATTTCACCATCGAGAGAGACGCTTTGATATTTCAAAGCCCGACAGACCTAATAATACACCTGCATCTCGATTTTAGGTAAAAAAAATCACAAATCGAGGGCGGCACAAACGAAATTCCTAACAAAATATTTAATTTCCGACACCAGTTGCTCCGCTGCAGTTCATGGTGATCATTCTTCTCCAGCGTACCAATGGGGGCCGCGGATTTTCGATCCGCATACTAATTGATCCGAGCGCGTATTTCGTATAAATAGAGAGGTCAACATATTGAAGTGTTATCAAGCTTTACAACATGGCACCGAAAGTAGCTGGTAAGAAAGGCGAGAAAAAAGCCGGCAAGGCGAAGGGAGCGACCGAAGGAAAGTCAAAGAGAACAAGAAAACGCAAGGAAAGCTATGCCATTTACATCTATAAAGTTCTCAAGCAAGTTCACCCCGACACTGGAATCTCCAGCAAAGCCATGGGCATCATGAACTCTTTCGTGAACGATATCTTCGAACGCATCGCCACAGAAGCTTCGAGACTTGCACACTACAATAAGAAGTCGACCATTAGTTCCCGCGAGATCCAGACCGCCATCAGGCTGCTTCTGCCCGGCGAACTTGCGAAGCACGCCGTAAGCGAAGGAACGAAGGCTGTGACCAAGTACACAAGCAGCAAATAAACTTCCTGTTTCAGGTTACTGTATTCCTCGCAAACATCGATACAATGCAAGCCACGAATCAAGATATTTCGACAGAATTCGCCAGACATTAGAAAATTGTTCTGTGAAACAGACTGCTAGTTATAACCTGGCGAAACATTTTACATCCGTTTTTAAATTTTAATTTAATAAATCGAATCGAAGTTTATGTATTTAACAGGGGCCTATTGGCCATATACATAGCAATGGGTATCTATTTTTTCCAACTAATTTAGTTTTAGCAATTTTTTTGTTCGTTGTTGTAAACTTAGAGTTTATGATCACAATTCCATCATTTAGCTTTAGCAATTTTGTGTTTGTTATAAATTTAAGTGAAAGTTTTTTGTTGTTCAGTTTTGTTTAGGGGCCCTGTATCCCAATGTCATTTTGCTATAAAGAGTCGCACAACTTTAAAAGGTTCCAAATTTTTACCTGAAAATTGTGATTTTTGCACCCCCACTTAGCCCTTGGAGTTTGGGTCATTAAAGGGGGTAAATGTTGCAGCGAAGGTTTTGACAAAAAAAAGTTCTGTTATGGGGACAATTTTTTCCTGGACTACAAGTTGCATGAAATCCAGCTGGTGTTAATTTGTGCATCATGAAGCAGGGATAAAAGTGACCTCAATTTTCAATTTGACATCACTGTTCCTGCAAACTGGCCCTTCAACTTGCATCCTATGTGCACATATGAATGAGTCCCTGAGATATACATCACTTGCAAAAATTTTTCAGATGCTTTATCTCGGATGTTTAATTTTTGGACACTTCATATCTAATTTCAGATGCTCAGGGCCAATGAAACAGGAATTACATCGAAACAACATCTATGAAAATGACAGCTCTACTACACCCCTAAAGGTTTTACAGAGACACTGACGTGAAAATAACACATTCTACCAAGCCAATAAGTATCTTTAGCTGTGTCTCAACTAGAGTTTGCTCCATACTGGAAACTAAGAGCCTTAGGGCTAGTTAAAAGTTTTATACCGTGCTATAAATATTTTGGATGCTCTAAATTTCAGACACTTTTCCAACTGTTTTATTTTTGGACACTGTCCAAAATTTTTCACAAGTAATGTATCCCTGCAACATGTCCCCAAGTGTGTGCCAACCTTTATGGGTACACAGGGATGGATTTTGTTTAGAACTGTACAACAACCCACAGTTTTTTAACACAACAGCCAGTCTCAATATAAGTTAATGAAATTGTACCTGGACCATATCCAAGGTGTGTCTCCATGTTCCTGAGACGTTCTTCTATTCCAGGACAAAACCTTGCTTCCAGCCGAGAAGGTTGGGTTGTTTGTTTTGAGATCTCGGGTCCTAATGCTTGTGCCTCACTTGTGGTGCTTGTGTTTTCAACCCGGGTAACTGTGGCATAACAAACAGAGAGGAGTAAGGTGACCTGAGAAGCAAAGAATTCCCCCATTCAAATGACGCGTAACTAGAACAATGTTCCTTAAGAAAGATGTAAACTCGACCCTGTTAGAAGTTTTTCAAGTGTTTCACTGAGAATGTCAATAATTCTAACCTTTGATATGGCTCTTTTGTCCAAGCCGGCGCACAAACACTGCATCAGTCCGTGCACATCTAAATTCTGCAGTAAATGAAGAAACAGGTATCAAGGCTTTAAGTCACAGATCATAAGAATAAATGGAGACTTTGTGCAGGCTCAAAGGCTTTATATTCCATTAAAATCCCCCAGCCAGCACCATAAGAAACATACAAGACCAGTAAGGAAAATCTCTATTTAAATACCAGAGCTTTAAGTGGTTACAATACATCAAATTCCCACAGCTAATACTATAAGACAAAAAGATCAGTAACAAGAAGATCTGTTAGATCTTATAACCGCGCTTTTAAAATTTAACTGTTTCCTTAGCACCACAGTCGCAACGCAGTGCTCATTCCAAAGTAATCCTTGATGATTCATTGATTACTGTAGACACCACATCACGTGATCAACGCAAACTGTATTACTGCACCATCAGTCGTACTCGTAGCCATTGTGAAATCTCTGATGATTTTATTTGTCACATAGCGAAAGTGAAAGCTGCAACGCCAGCGCATTCCATGGCGGATGTAATACCTTTTTTTTTTTGCATATTTATTATTTGCCTTCGAATCCAACGCTTCGATAAAACCAAAAGAAAATGTATTTTACCCACAACAAAGAAAACAATATCTGTAAAATTGTCTGTGTATTAATGTAATGTTTCAACAGCTTTTGGTGAACAAACATCACACGTTGCATGACTCGAAATTTGGCCGAGCGGAGGTCTGTGTCTGGTCACCAACAAAAAAAATAATAAAATAAACCACGGGTAAACCACGAACCGTGCTCGGCCCATGGCCACGCGGTTAATGAGAATTTATATTTTGACATCAGGGTTGAAAGTGTTTGTAAGGAATCTAAGATACAAATGGCAGGGGTATTTTGCCGAATTCCAAATGCTGAATTCACTGTTTGCTTGTGGTTAGTTTTGCTCATGTTCACTTGCAGTTAGCTTTCATTTGTTGGAAAGGGCCAAATACAATATAATGAGGTCCTTTCCAGCAAATGAAAGCTAACCACAAGCGAATTTGAGTTAAACTAACCACAAGCAAACAGTGCATTTAGCATTTGGCGTTCTGCATTTGGTGTTTGGCACTCTGCAAAATACCCCTGCTGAGATACAAACAGTTATGATCGTGGTTTGCACATTTTTATTTTCCCTTATTACTTCAAATCTGCTACTGAAAAGCTTACCGTTATTATTTCCTGTGTCAATAACATTACAAAATTCTCTCTTGTTGAGCAAGTCCACCTCCACACGTTTCCGTTGTATGAATGCTGAAATCCTTCTATCAATCTGAATTATTAGACACGGGAAAATACATTAAAGAAATAATCTGAGCTGAAGTTATTGTACACAAATGCAAATAAATCATTAAAAAAATTTAAATAGTGTCACTGTCCTTGATTAAAAATAATAAATAAACATTAAACAACCAAATAAATAATTTGTGTCATACCTCTGACTTTGCAGCTTTGACTTGGATCAATGAACTGTCCAATTCTTGAATGCCATTTGAAACTACGGAGTATATATTACAACCAGCCCACCTTTAGCAGGGGTTTCATTAATGTTTTTAGCAGGAGGGCAACTGGTTTTCACAGGCGGGCAAAACTATTTGAACTGAACTTCTTTATAAGAAAAACCTTCCTGTAGATGGTTAACCCAACTGGGCAAAAATGTCTTTTCAGCTGGTCAATTTGCCTGGTGCCTGGTGGGCACCCAGCCCTTAATGAAACCCTACTTAAGTTATCCAAATAACACCAAATTCAGTGGTTTCGTTAATGAAAATAATAATAATGATAATCAAATAGAAGCAGCTATAAGACCACAAAGCCAAAATTTGCTGTTCCTCACCCACCCCATGGAAGGGTCATGAGGGATGGGATCTCAAAGTTAAACTAGAACAATTTTCCAGTTCAAACCAAAAACCTTCTGTGGGAAGGGTATGGATATTTTCTGGAACAACAGTGTTTGATTTACTGTACAGGCTAATAAGTCTGGGAAGCATAGCTCAAATTGATTCAAGTTCTAATAAATATATATAAAGCTACCATCATTCTGCTCCTGTTTATTATCTGACTTCATTTTCTTGGCTGCAGGAGTTGTCAATGTGTCATCAGCAGTTTCTGATTTGTCAACCCTGGCACCACAACTGTCCTGTTAAAAAGGAACAAATTGGTCAACACATGTGTGGGAAGAAGTCAAAATTAATTAAAGCAACTTTGGTTTACCACAGGGTCATGTTGGAACCCATACATGTGTATGGTCAAAATGTGTTACCTCATGGTAATACGGCTCACTCATGAAATAATTTTTATAAACCACCCTGATGAAGATAAGGTAGGTGGGTAGGTAGGTAAGGTAGGTTGGTAGATAGGTGCAGTGGCCTCATGGTTAGTGTGCTGTCCTCCAGATCGAGCGGTCTGGGTTGAAGCCCTGGCCAGGGACATTGTGTATGTTGACTGTGTTCTTGGGCAAGACACTTTACAGAGTAACAAGCCTTGCCCAAGAACTCAACATAATGAACCTCTTGATCTGCGGTCTAATGCACTAATCATAAGGCCAGTGTGTCTTCCAATCCTGGTAATCCGAGGAGCAAGTTACCCACATCTTGAGCCCATCTTGGGCAACCTCCACCCCGCTCGCTCCAGCATTTGTGGTTGTGTCCTGGTGTACTGGTACATAGAGGGAATAACCATTGTACTCCTTTCTTTGTGAACCTTTGTTTAGCTGTTGAACATTGTTGCGTCTTTTGTATTAGTTCTTGTGAACCGGTACACGAGGACAGAACCGCATTTGTGGCCAGGTTACCCTGAACAACTATCTCAGGGTTACCCCACAATGGATTTATAACACCCCTAGCAGGGTTAGTAGCAATACTTCATTTATTATTAACATAATTTAATGGGTTGATTGATTATCTGAACTATACAACTTTGACCTTTAGAAAGCTGCTCACCCAAAGTACACAAAGAAAAAGACTTATTACCTGAACTGATTTAAAGTCCTTTACAAGTTGAGAAAGATTTTCCGAGACTGCCAACTCATTCACTCCAATTTTATGAATTTTCTCACAGCTGAAAGTCAAACTCACAACATCTGAAGGTAAAGACAGCTGCAAGGAAAAAAAAAAGAAACAAAATGAATCTTTGACACTTGTTGTATTCCCTAAAAATAACTAAAATGCATTACCTTTTGAATAAAACCCTCTACTAAACGGAAAATCTTCACCAAAACATTTTCTCGTTCCATGTTTTTCACCGATCACAAACAAATTCTCCCAAGAAAAACCAATTTGCCAGGCTACAAAGTGAAACTTTGCGCGGTCGCTCAGCCATCTATGCTTGTTTGAGGCAAGATGTTTTACCATGTAAGTCTTTCCCTCAATCTTTGCCCTGAAAACGGCGATCTTTTGGTGTTTATAAGATAGTATATTTTCAGCTAATTATTGTTTCCTCCTTAGATCTCGTTGGAGCACGAAATTTTGCTTCATCCACGATATTTTGGTCCAAACTTGCTGCAAACAGTGAAGCAAAAGCTATTCACCGAAGTCGAAGGAACTTGTAGTGGAAAGTAAGGTTTTAAGTGTTAGTTGTCTCAGTCTACTTAGTTAAAAAAAGTATTAGAAGTAATAATTCATACATGGAGGAGAGCACAGTGTTCTTTTACACATGCAAAGCTTTCATAATCATTGGTTCAAATGACTTATGCATGTGTTTTTAGGTATGGGTTTATTATAGCTGTCACCACGATTGATAACATTGGTGTGGGCCACATCCAACCAGGCCGAGGATTTGTTGTCTATCCTGTAAAATACAAGGTAAATGGAACTTCTAAGCCCGTTCAAACAAGCTAAGAGAGTATCTTGGTAGGATACTATTGTAAAAGTTTTTTTGACAATGTAGAAGTTTAAGTGAATGAAATGATTGGATGTTTCTTTTAATGTGGATCACATTTCTTTTTCCAGGCTATAGTTTTTAGGCCTTTCAAGGGAGAGGTATTGGATGCAGTTGTTACTCAAGTGAATAAGGTATAGAAGAACTTCAAATGGCACATGTAAAATAAATCCTGTACTTTTTTATTTTAAGAAATGTTCATGTGCTCTGTATGTGTGTTCTTATGATTCATGCACCAGACTCTGGATCAGTTAATTCTTTGCTTGCTCAAGGTTACTGGGAAAAAAAGCTTTCTTGGGAAATTCAAATTACCACAGTGCTGTAAGAGAGGTACTGTTCAGAATAGTACAGTGTAGTTTCGTCCCCTGACATTGATTTTATTTACACCCTGGTTAGGTCTACATTATGGAATTAGCGGTGGGCGATAATGGGGCCAGATGATTGCCCTTCCCACCCCACCCCTCCAATTCCTTGAATTAAACCAAACTTTAACCTGTACCTTTTACTCAACATTTTTCAGGTTGGATTGTTTACTGAGATTGGTCCTCTGTCATGCTTTGTGTCAAGACATGTAAGTACAAATAACTGTCAAGTTTGTTATCCAGTCATAAAATAGTGCAGATGAGTATACTCTGACAGCTGTTATGCCATCATGGCACGCTCTGATAGAAGATGTGCAGTTTGCATGTGAATTATTACAACTCTTTGAGTTTATACAGCACTTAACTTTGTCCACAAGGGGCCCTTGTGCAAGGAAATATAGACAAAGTGTATGTGATACACTGATGCAGTACCTTCTATCACTCAGTTCCGGTCCTAATATCGAATTGTAATGAGCATGACACATGTATGATGCATTTTTTTGTTAGGTAAAAAAAATCTGTAGAGGAGGTTCAGAACCACCTTAAATTTTCGTTCCTTGGTTATGTGGGATTTGATAAACAGCAATAGGTATCATGATTTCTATTCTTCATTTGTCTGGACTCAAGCCTTGTTATCTTAAACTTGTGTTCGCATTATTTCCAGTCTATCCCATCCGATATGGAATTTGACCCAAACTCTAATCCACCATGCTACAAAACACAAGATGAGGTACGGTATTGCAAAATTATTACTGCAGCACTCGGCTTTTATCAAGCTTATTAAGAACATTGTTTGCTCCTTTTATTACTTGTCCCATGCCAGTAGTGCTAGACAGTCTTGATTTCTCCAAATCTGTATCATTTGATGTACATGTAAGCAGACTCTGGAGGGGGGATCTGACAGTGAGAGCTGTGGTCCCCCTTGCATCTTAGAGTGTTCAACTGGAATCCTTAAATTTTGTCCTAGAATGCAGGAAAAGGCATTTCTGATAACCTACTGAGATTTTTAGATTTCCCAGAGATTTAGGAGAAGGTTTGGGGGATTCCTCTAAACTCCCCAAGGGTTTTACACCTGCTAGGTTGTATCTGCCCTTGAACTTCTCCACCACAAGGAATGAGTATCCACCTTCTTAACTTTACTGGGTGTAGTGCCTCATCACATGTGTTTCTAAATTATTTCTGTTTACAGGACATTGTAATACAACAAGATGATGAAATACGTCTCAGAATTGTAGGAACAAGGGTTGATGCTAAAGATATTGTAAGTACATGTATATAGCTGTGTGTGTGCATGTACTGCTCAACTCCACATTTGAAGTGATCTACGTGTACTGCAGTGAGAATTCTAATCCAATAGTTCAAGGCAGGTTCAGGTTGTTTACTCTACCAGCACACAGCTCTGCTTAAATATGCAAATATTTTCTCCTGTAAAGTAATATGATGCAAGCAGAGATATGCAGTCACCAGTAAAAGTGATTTGGCCTGCGTGTGGGTTGTCCATACAGCATGGGCAACTCTGAACATTCACAAACTGATGGCATTTTCAAATTCGTCCAAGAAAATTCAGCTCAACCAAGGTGGTATGATAAAATACCTTTTGACAGAGTTAGGTTAGGCAGAGAGGAGAATATTAAGCTCTTGGTAATTTACATACACCTCCCTGCACTCAGTCTGTACACCATGGTCCTTCAACAAAATAACAATTTATTTCATCTATTTACAGTTTGCCATTGGTTCACTTATGGATGACTACTTGGGTAAGAGCCAGTTGTCATTTATCTTCATAAACTCCACAGATTTTCTTTTTAAACGTCCTCTTGTTGTTGTTGTTGCAGGTCTTGTTAGTTAACAGAGCTTTCCTTTTTGATGGTGCACCTCATGTAGTTAGATCCTTTCAGTGGCAGAGGAAACATTCATTAATCAAGATATCAGAAAGAGCTGAAAAGCATGGAGATGTTTTCTTGGCAAGACATGTTTGTCCATTCCACGTCAACGGCATATTTTTGTATCAGGCTGTTTTTCCAGAGTGATGCAAATTATGACTGTTTTCCTATCTGGTTCAAAAACATGTTAAAATATTTATCACCCTTTGATGAAAACAGTTAGACACCATCACTACAGACCATGTAGCAGCGACCAAAGATGTCTGCATAAACAAAGTTTTAATCAAATGGGTAAATTTAAGATAGTTGTGGGTTTTCAGAAAGAAGGGATGAAAAGCACTATTATGACAAGGTGTCACACACAAGATGTTGCACTGTATCATTCCAAAGGAAACATCATGTTATATTACATGTATTTCTTATTATCAAAACCCCCTGGGAATTCCCATATGAAAAGGTCGGGGGTGCTCATTGTCTCGCCAAGGGGTATAAATCAAGGATTCTGATCTCACTTAGGGTGTTCATGACGAAATGCCACTATTTTAGCTGTCAAAGTATCTTTTAGAGTGCACTCAAAGAAATAATGATAAAAACACGCTATTATTTTCATTTTTAGGCTACATTTCCACTGGTCTCTCGAGTCCAGTCCACTAACGCAGGCTCCTTTCTCTAACAGAGGCTGGTAATTGAGCCTATTCCACTTTAAGTGGTATCTTTTAGGGATCAAATAAAGCTTGAGGCACACCTACATTGTCTTCTTTAGGGGTGAAATTAAGTTTTCTAATGAACATCTCTGACCTTTTCTTAGGGCAGTTCCCCCACCCCTGGGCAAAAATGATACTTATCTTCTGAATCAGAAACCTTAAGGAAGTAAATCTTGAGTTTGCCACTTATTGTAACAAAGGCAATTGGTCTGACTGCATTACTTGTGTTAAAATTTAGTTCTTTTATTCGCTTTGTAAAGATTTGTAAATTTTTTTTTTCAATATAAACATCTTCAACAGACATGTACACATGTACCATTTAATAATGGGCAAATGTCTCTGATAAGAACAGATAGAAAATACAAAAATATAAACTTTGATTTTTTAATTTACTAGTAAATCACTGTAAATGCATCCATTGTCTTGTTTATTTGGTTGTTTTAAGTGATGATTTCACAGGTGATCTAGCTAAAAGTTTATGGAAAGAAAACCTAAACTGTATCACAGTGTTGTTTTGTGGACATGGCCTCAAAGTCATTTTTGGTATTGATAAGAGGTAACAAAATCGCACCAGCTACTTGTAGTTTTGAAAGAGTTACTGGTACTCTTAAACAACATACAGCTGTTGGGATTTTGCACACAAGTACTTTGTTTCCATGAACCAGGATAAATTTTTGTTTGTCATTTGAGGTTTAAACAAGCTGAGCAAGCACCTATTTTTTTTATTTTAAGATGACCACCCCTGTCTCTTTTGGGAGTTGTACCCTTCTGTCCCAGAAACCAGTATGTAATCAGTCTTGCTAGTCATTGCATTAATTTCTTTACTGGCCAATACTTCCAGAACAGCATTTCCATATTGAATTTGGATTCCAAGAGAAGCCAGTGTATGCAGTTATTTGACAAGACCACGGTCACATCACAGTCTTCTTTTGCCATGATCCTTTGCGAACTTTGGGTTCGGCCACCATCACTTTAATGGGCATACCGCCAATGACCTGTGATTACAAACAAAAATTGTTAGTGACAGTTATGTTCAAAGAGGGAGTGCTTCACCTGGTTTCACATCTTGCATGTTGAGCAAGTGTTGTGTATGACACCAGCAGAAAGAAAGCACACAGGCATTCAGTTAGCTGTTAACCTAATATCTTTAAATAAGATATCTGAGGTAGTGCCATATCTATTAATCGTAGAAGATGCACAGGTGACATGTAAACAAGCTCTCTACAAGGACCTGACAGGAAAAGAGGGGAAAACTGTCACGCAATCTTGAAAAGTTGCGTGACAAGTTACATGACAAGTTGCGTGACGAGAAGAAAAGGTCAATTGCGCGCCGAACAGGTGGTTCGGCGTGGCTAATTGTACTTTTCTTTCTTCTCCTAGCTCTTCTTTCTCTCGCGCGCTCTACGCTCTTTCCCGACTTATCTTAGAAGGTAGAAATCTAGGAAAGATCAAAGCGACTCTGCTAGTAGTCCCCTTAGTAAGGTATCACCAACGTTAGAACCGTAGTCTCGGAAACTTGCGCCCCGTATGTGGCGTTGATTTTTCTTACTTCACATGTTTATTTCAATCAATTAACCATCTTTTTATGGCATGTTACAGTTGCAAATTCCCTTCTCGAAAATGAATTTCACTCTGACTTTCACCCTCGTTTCCCGACCAATGTGATATCATGTAGTTTTACTTTGGACTTTCCTCTCCCGCCGATGTACACTAATAGGGAGTTTTAGCAAACCACGGTGGCGACGGCGGCGAGAGTGTCACCGAACAAAAGGTTTAATTATCGGAACAATGGCTGTGCACGTGCGTTTTGAAGCTTGGTACATTTCTTTGCCGTCCTCTGCAAAACAACAGGGACCTTACGCAAAACACGACGGCAACAGCAACGAGAACGTCACCAAACAAAAGGTTTAATAACCAGAACAATGGCTGTGCACGTGCACTATAATTCTTGGTACATTTCTTTGCCGTCCTCTGCAAAACAGCAACGTGAAATGACCATATTCTGCGTTGTCTGGAGAACGTGAACCACAACGGCTAATTTTTCGTATTTCTATTTGGAACTGAACGCATTCGTAGCATATTCAGCCGGGGCAAGTTTTAATACCGACAGACACACTGGACAGTTTCAAATATATGCGAAATTCCAAGGTAAAATAGAACCACATTTTTTACTTGGCGTCGTCCTCGCCGTCGCCGTCGCACATGCGTAAGGTCCCTAACAACGTGAAATGACCAAATTATACGTATTCTGGAGAACGTAAACTGTTGAACGCACAAATACCGAGCGGCGACACGCGTACTTTGCCATCACCCAACTTTCCCCAGGATCTAGGTTAGATATGGCCTATATACAGACGTCTAATATTTCCTTTGTTGCGTGAAGCAAAAACGAAAAAGTGAACATAAGGACGGAATTTCCCCAGAGGGTAGGAAATGGAGGAGGTATTTTCAGCCCAATTTATAACGGAAGAGAGGGCAGCGTTTATTACAGATTGATGTTAGAGGGTAGAGTACGAGAAATCGAAGATAAACATTGAGTAAAGCGAGTGCAGAGCACGGAACGCAAGGGAGTGGGGGCGCTGGCGACTAAATTTCTCCCGTGACAATTCTCTTTGTACAAAACAGAGAACTGTGGCGGGGGGGGGGGNGGGAGTTACATCGTGTTCGTTGCTTTTCCCGTTCTTTCTCGCTTCTCTCTATGGAATCATGGAGTTTGACAAAGCGAGCAAATCACGAAATGTTCCGGATGATTGCCGACGAATACGGTTTGTGAACTGAGTAGTATCCTTTGGACACGTTTAGATTGCCATTCTCATGTAAGAAAATAGCTCACTCAGGTTTCTCACCTTTCCATGGAGCTGTTTTATTGCCCTTTCTGCGCTGACACTGTCCGTGTACTGAACAAAGGCACAGCCCTAACAAGAGAAAGAACGTATAATACGCAAATACATGAACATAACGATAAAAAAATGAACGAAAGAGAGCACGTTTGAGTCACAAATGAAGAAACGTGTAGAGTGAATACGTAATAAGAGACCGGGAAGGAATCGGATTTTAATAGTACAAAAACTTAAGCAATAAAGAACTGTCAAATACTTGTGAAGAAAATAGTTTGTGGCAAGTCTAACCCGGCATTTCGTCTCGGCCAAGAGATTCTTCAGAGACCTTTCAGTCCTTCCAGACTTTAACAGCAAACATTAGCAAGCAAAAACAAAGGGAGGGTGGGGAAGGAGGAAGGAAAGAAGGAATGGGAGTTAAGGGAAGTGAAAGGAAAAAAGACGATGGAAAACAGAATGACTGAGAAGGAAGAAAGGAAAGAAGGAAAGCTGTGAGATTCGGTGAGACAAAGTGAATGACTAATACCTTAGAAAATCCATTCACATCGCAGTTCAGTTTAACCTCCGCAGTCCCAAACACTTTAAACTCGTCAAGCAGCTGTGTCTGTGTCACATGTTTAGCACACACTACATACAGTCGACTGTTATCAGCCACGTAAAGAAAACCAAACACTCCCAGATGGCCTCGTACCCCACGAGCGCGAAGCTTTGAACAAACGGACTTTATCTGCGTAAGGGCGAAAACACCAATTAAAGAAAGCTTGTCTAAAAGTTGTTTTAGAACTCGAATCAGCTTTATAGCTGACAAACGAGTTACAGAGAAAAACTGTCTTGCTATGTTGGCGGCAAGTGATTCACTTAGCTGTTTATCAGATTTAAGTTGATAAAATGCTTATTGACTGAGTGGGAGGGCCAGACAGAAAAATATTTGTTTCGAGATCAGGACGTACGGACCGCGCGGAGTGAGGTCAGACCGGATGGGTTAATAGTTGGCTCTTAGTCAGGACGCACGGACCGAACGCAGCGAGGTCCGACCGTACCTCCTGACCTCGAGACAAATATTTTCCCGCCCGGTTTTCCCACTCAGTCAATAAGCATTTTATCATATGACCATTCGCATTTTACTTTCTATTTTTTGATGGAACGAGGACGCAAGCAGGGCTTTACAGCATCAAGTTGATAAACAGCTAAGAGCTGAACGAAACCCTAGTCTAGACTGAAAATAAAAGTGGACACGTGCAGCTCATGCCTGCCCCGAGCAAAAAAGACTTCTCTATCCTGCTCGAAAGATGTCTGAAATTAGACCCGAAAATTTCTGTACACTGATGACGTAGCTCTACCGAGATCGCTTCAGCGTCTATGATTGGCTGATACTTGCCTCGCGAAAATTGAAAACTGAGCAGCAACCAATCACGGGTCTTTACACAACTATGTCACCACAATGGAATTTTTCGCGCCAGATCTCGAGCGTGTGAATACAAAATCAAAAGGTCTCACTCAGGCCCAAATTTCTTAAAATATAAGTATTGAAAGTCCATCAGAGGGAAACAGAAAGAAAACAAATACTATGGTGTTAGGTTAGCGCATAAAATACTGTTCTTACCATTGCGACTTTCTGGTCATGTGTAAGCCACTGAATCGCTCTTCTTGGATTCTGATCACTGTGGCTGTTCACCGGAAAAAAAAAATGCAAACAGTAAAATTAGTCGAGCAAAATAAAAAGTAATGTGGTATTAAACATAAAACCAGAAGGTTCACTAGCGAAAAAACTAACAGTAAGTAGTGAATTTTTTTTTTTTACTAAAACGAACGGCTCGAACAGAAAAGAAAAGCTACCAAACATTTTTGTAATTTTTAATAACCGGGCCAAATAAAGCCTTCGCACCAAATCTGATTTGCCAAACATTTAAATATCTATTCGACGACGAAGAAGTTCTTTATTTTCAACCAACCAGAAGAAAAAGCAAAATCAATCGTTTATACTTCGTCTGCAGTTTCTCGGTGCGTTTTGCAAAACTGCCTGCGCATTCTTACGCTAGCGGTTTCAAAGTTTTATTTTAACTTCGCATTGGTATTTTAGTTGCAAACTGACAGTCAAATAAGATTGATTTTCTATAATTACCCGGTAGGCTTTCTTTACCTAGCTTTTTCACACAAAGTTTCCCGTTCATCGGCTGAACTCCTCTTGTCGACTCCATTGTCATTTGCAGTAACACTAATTTCATTTGGATCTTGCCCTTCTCCGAACAGAGAAGGTAAAAGTTCATTTTCGCTATGTGTCCCTTTCATATCCAAACTCGAATGACTCGAAACTCTCAGAAAATCAGTTTCGTCGTCTAGTTTAACGCTGAGCTGGTTTCTTGTGCTAACAGCAGGACTACAGTTAATCTCATTTCCATGTACAAGTATTATTCTGTTCTCCGCTGGCTGCGTTTTAGTGTGTTTGTTCACTGAAAGCGGATCAGATGTTGTATGTTCTTCCTGCTCTGAACTAGATTCTTTCGTGCCAAACTCCTCGTGATGTAGTGAGATGGGATTACGTTCTTCTGACAATAAACTCTCTTCTTTGTTTTCCTGGTTTGGTTCTCCTTGTGACTGACCAAGTTTCGCTGATTCACCAATTCTTTTATACCTTTTAGATACTTCTTGGTCCCACCTTGAAGAGCGTCTCTTTAAAACTGGTCTGCAAAAGGTGTAAAATACCCTAAATAAACAAAAGTGTCTCATTATGCACACAAATTTTATTTATTGTGTTGCCCGCCAGAAAGACCTCTGCGATCAATTCCATCTGAGAGACTCCACATTGAAGGGTGGCATACATTATGCTCTACGGAGATCCATGATACGTCTGACGTGAGTGAGCAACGAGAGACAACTGTGTGCTTCAGCCAGGAGAAGGCATAAAAAAGATAAGGGAAGACCTTAATTAGCCCTAATGTCAATGTGTAAATTCTTCTGATCGAAAGTATAAATTTGCAGTCATTCCTTCCGGGGATGTTAGATCAGGAGGGGTGTGACGGGGGAAGGTGACGAGGTGAGAGTCAGCTCGGGGGACCTGAACTTCCCACATCTTGCACCCTTTTATCCTGTTTCACGTTTCCATTCATGGTAGGCCTTCATGGTAGACTCGATTACTTACCAGCCGCTGTTTTGGAAAGAGGCCCACAAAACGAAGAAAAACTCGAGAGAGCTGCAGAAATCGAGCCCACCTTTTAGGCCACTCCTAGCTACTCCTAAAACTCTCTAATTAATTTGCTTCTGCAAAATAAATTAAAATATATATATTTTTATTTTTTTTGATTCCCTCCATCTTAATAATGCTGTTTGCAGGTTGGGCCTGCTCCCTTTTTACACAGCATTCTGTGCAGACATTCCTTTGGCTCATCATCAACTCCTCACTAACTGAGGAAGGAATGTGTGACAAAGGATTTCTGCAAAGGAGAAAGTTTTTTCATGGCTCCCTTCCCTCGTTTTCTAACTTGCCACCCCACCCCCTGTCATGCTCATTAAAGATAATTAGTTGTCTATCAAGATGGTGACAGACAGAGAGTGACAGCTTACTTCAGTGCAAACTCCTTTTCATTGCAATATACTGTATCAGAAACGATGTCTCCTTTTGGTTTCGCCAGGGTCCTCAAGGGAGACTCCTAGAAAAAAGAAGTTACCAGATGAAATGAAGATTGTTGAAAAAAATTCATCTGTGAACGGTTTAACAGGGGAGCAGGGACAGCGCAGCAGCGAGAGCACTTGCCTACCACTAATGTGGCCTGGGTTCACATGTGGGTTGAGTTTGTTGTTGGTTCTCGCCTTGCTCCGAGGGTTTTTCTCTGGGTTAGAACTCTGGTTTTCCTCTCTCCACAAAAACCAGCATCACCAAATTCCAATTCAACCAGGATAGAGGACCTGCATGAAAACCATCTAAGGCTTATGCAGCTTCATCTCTAAATGTTGTAATTTATTTCATAATTTTATACTTTGCTTGGCAGGCTCTCAGAAGTTCACAGTCTCAATCACACACTCTGAAGTACTGGTAAACTATCCTTACTGATTTTGATACAGTTCAGTTTAATGTACATTGATCACCTTGTATAAGTCTTACCTTCTTTTCATACTGCTTTTGGCTTATTTTGGTTTCTCTGAAGCATTCACTATTCGATGGCTGTTCATCTCTGTTTTCTTGTCCCCAGCCCAACTGCATAGCACGACCATAGATTTCAAAATCCTGCATACTATAGACAATACAAAGCTACATTTTAAATGCAAATACATTGTAACATAAAAACATTACATTCTGCCCTGCTTGTTCACAACCCCTTACCTATTCCTTGCATTAATTACGTTATTCATTAAACTTTTGGAACGACGAGTTTATCAATGAAGCAGTTTAAGTTGTGTGGCATGTGCACCTTGGCTAAAATTGTTTTCAACAATTCATCTATCCCTATCCCAAAACAAAACAACCAACAAACCAGAACAAAATATTTATTAATATATATTTGGGTTTAGGCTGGGGTTATTATGTACTCGTAAGTACTAAACATGGTAGTATTCTTATTTCATAAACACAAAGCTCACCATATCATGGCTAACTCAGCTGATCTTCTGCAAGGAAATGATATAAATCCATAACCTTTTGACTGACATCTAACAACATCCATCACCACATGAGTCTGCAAGTAAAACAAGACATTTTAAATATACCTCCAGTGTGCAGCATGTGCTTACAAATAATGAGGGTCCTAAAGGGGTGTGTGTGTGTCAGGGGGGGGACGTTAGAGCCCAAATTTTGCCCACATTCCATTTCCCAACCTATTTTTTGCCAAAAATTTCCCCAGAAATGCCAAATGTCGGTTAAAATATGTCTGAAAAATGTACTTTCGACATTTTCTTTGTATCTATATGTAAGATATTTGGTGACCTACAGAGGAGACCAGGAGATTTGGTCTGTATCCAGGAGGCTTCAGGATAGTCTGGGAGAGGTCAACTTAGCTTTGATGGGAATTAAACGTATTAATTCAACACTAAGTTACAAAGTGAACGTTGCTGTTTTGGTTGTTGATGGTTGATAGAGACTACTGGACACATTTTGCGCAACATGTTTGCACTTAGCGGCAGTTACTTCTCAACACTACCTTTATCGCAGCTTTGTCTTCTTCGTTTAAACTGAAGACTTCAAATGCAGCATGTAAGATTTCTGATGTCACACCATGGTCCAAGCCCCCCACAAAAACATTGCAGTTGGTTGGTGAGGCAACCAGCATCTTCCACAAAGCAATGTCTTTTTCATTTGATAAGTAAGTGTAGTCTTGAATGCTTTCACAGGAGTTTGGATCATCGTTGGTGGTATTCTCACATTCCTATTTTATAAATAACCAAAGAATGGAGAGAGCAAAGCACAGCAAAAGCAGATCATTGTCACTTATAACCATTCACATTGGTAAAGACTATCCACAAGTTAAAACCCAAGCTAGTGTATATCTTCGTGTGCAGCAAACTAAACATTGTGTTTTTAATTAATAAGTTAGAGTTTTAAAGCAATATTACTAAACTACATGTAAATAAGACCAAGAATGTAAGTAACAAAGGAATTAAGATTCATAAAAATTAATAAAAATAAATGTTTTAATATTATGAATGATTAATCATATCAAAGCAGAAAGTTCAAGTAAAGGTATTGCTTCCTAACTCTGTAGTAGACTTAATAAGAATTGAGATACTGAAGCAGAGCCAATGTTTTAGCAATCACAAGCTTTTGATGCTGTCACAGCATCTTTCTCAATTGAATATGGTAGAGAATCTATTAGTTGGAAGACAGTAAGGTGGCTGTTGCAGCAAGAGAAGAAAAAAACTTCAGAAGAAGAAGTTGTGAGGCCTTGGAAATTCTGTGCCAGTCCCTGTCAATCAATTGAGACTGTGGATTTGAACTTCCTGCTCAACACAGGGATGTTTTGGCATATGACTTAGTCCACCCAAGCTCATGTGACAAATAGTCCACCCAAGCTCATGTGACAAATAGATTCCCACCATATTAACTTGAGAAAGATGCTGTGACAGCATCAAAAGCTTGTGATCATTAAAAGCATTGACTCCGTTTCAGAATCTCATTTCTTATCAAAGCAGAAATTGTTTTGGAATGGCAAGAATGGTACTTTACATCAGCTTCATCCGATGTAAATGAGACATATGGTAGAGCAGGAGGTTTGAAGGTTTCTTGGGCAGGCATCTGGTAGATATAATTCAACATCCTCTGTACTGCACCCTCTTGCTCTTCTTCTGTTGGAACTAAAAATAAATACGACAACCAAAATGAAACAAGTTTGTGCGCCAATTAGTTCAACAAGAGTCTGTAAAAACTACAAATTTAACAACAATGATTGGACAGTGAGCCATTTTAAAGTTGTTCATTATATTCATTCAGGACATGTGCCTCTCCTAATGGCATTAATTAAGATGGGTTCCAGGACTCAGGACTGGCACATCCAGCAAAACAATGCATTCAGATCTTCCTAGGGATTAGTACACTATGTTTCCTTTGCATTCATATATTTGCATAATTTATAACAACTAAAAAATTTTGCAGCTGGTTGGGAGATTGAAGAAACATTGAATGGTGTAACGGAAATTGCAGTTAAAAACCTTTGCAAATTGCTTAATAACTAATAATTAAACTTACTTCTATAATGATACTTACCTTCAACTTGCTTTGTTTTTTTCAAGGTAGTAACTGGGACCTTCACTCTTTCTAGTTTTCTTCTTTTCGATTTTGTTATAGCTGCTGGTTTCTTTGCTCGTTTTCCATTGTTTTGCTCCAGTTGTTTCTTCTCTCGTCCAAATCCTTGCTGAATACCTTGATGACTCACTTCAGTACTTGAGAACTCAACTTATTGAAAGAAACATCAAACAGTGAACTAAATCAATTTTACTATGTACAGCATTATTACCACAAACCTACTTGGGAGTAGCCCAAAGTGTTTCACATTGTACTTGTGAAACATGTGGTATTCAATCCAAAATTTTCCATTCTGATAACATCGTAGGTAACATACCCTACTCTAGTTCTACAATAATTTATATAGTGTCACCGAACAGTAACTGTTCTCTGACACTATACAACTGAACGACAACTGTTGTCGTTCAGTTTTGAATTTTTGTTTGCAGAAAGTAAAAACCCAGTGCACCACACTAATCTCCGTAACGTAACATTTTCCTGGTGAAATCTCAGGTATCTCCAGAGTGTGGAGTCCTCTAGCTATGAAAGCACCACTTGAGACTGATTAAAACACGTGAAGCAGGTAAAGAAATTAAATCATTAAAACACCCCGGACACTAAGAATAGTACCCAGGATACTTACGATAAATTGACTCTTGATGAAAGATATACTTAAGCGTAAGCTTATTAAGGGCCATTCCATTTAATATCTGCAAACCCCTATTGAGGGACTTTGAATTTTACTGCCCCCCCATATAAAAAGGAAAGTGCTGAATTTACACTTCCTTCTTCAGAATTCTATTAAAAGATTAAAGGCGCCGACACAGTTGCGCCCTCAGAAACAGCCTTTAAAGACTTCCCCCACCCCTCATATTTTCTAGATCCTTAATAGAAGGGGTGCAGATAAAAAATGGACTAGCCTAAAAGCCAGGGCGGAAACTTTACCAGTATCTTTTTCATACGCTCCAGCAAGACGCAAAACTTCTATCGCATCCTCGAACAACTTTTGCACAATAGGTTCATTTTGAACATCACAAATCTCATCTTTGGTTGCACTGAATGACGGTCGTTTTTGCATCCTCAGCAGTTTAACCATGAACACTTGCTCGGGAACATGAACATCGTCTACGTGAAAATATAAGACAGCTGTTTGCTGGCCATTCCACGATACAAGAACGAATATATAATGGATAAACACATTTCTTGACGGATAAGTCGATGCATGTTGAATTCACAAGCCGATATTCCTGTTCGGAGTGCTTTTATCCTGATTGTGAAAACGTCCGCCATGTTTTGTAACAGCATTGTTTTCGTACAGCGGATTCCCTTGCAAACAATAAGTATGTCAGGTATTTTTATTGTAGCGTCTCAGAAACACATGGGTAAACATGGCGGATGTGTAGAGTACAATGTGAGCAAGATTACTTCATTCTTTCGCTAAATGTCTCCTTGAATACAGACAACGTTTTGCACTAATTTTTTTTTTTCGAGGCCCTTATTACAATGGCGTTGGTTAGCCGTTTTCTTCGGTGTCATTTGCCAGTAGTAACAGGACTTCGCTCCTTGATCAACTCAAGTCGTGCTGGAATAAACATATTACCGTCATGTCAGGTCAGTTTTTATGTATTCGTTGGAAAATTCTATTTTCTGTTATAAGCTACTTTTATCTAAATATGATTTTCGTTTTCAATTTCATTTTCACTGCAATCGGCAATCAACTTTGTTTAAAATTCATTGTAGCTGAGATGGAAGACAGGTTGAAGCCCAGGGGGGAATGGAGGGGGGGGGGGGGNTCCAAAGGTGGAGGAACAGAACCTCTCCAGTATTTTACAGAACAACATGTTTCACCGTATATAAAGGTACATGCCCACAGAGAGGACTCCCATATAAAAGGGACGTGGGTGCTCGTCAGAAATTTTGAGAAGAACCCCCAAAAGGTACATGATCCTGTTTTGTGGGCATTGCTTGATATGTTTTTCACTCCTAAAAGGTACCAATTGTAAAACAACAATTAATCTCCAGTCATTTTTTGCGGCTCAATACCCTAAAAGGTACCACTGAGGACCCCTTGAGGTTAAACACCCTAAGAGGTACCAAAACTGCTTTTCTAACCCCTGAAAGGTACGATGAGCACCCTGTCCTTTTCATTTGGGAGTTCCCACCGGGGGGAGGGGTGGAGGGGGCTCTATTGAGCCACTGACTAGGAACCAAAGAATGGTCAAGTTAAATTGGGGAGCCTTGGTCTTTGAGTTAGTACTGAGAGCTGGGAAGCTATGCTGCTGACAAAGATTATTTCCCTATATTTCAGGTGCCATTCAAGCGCTGGTATTTTCGTGCAGTACCTCTAGCTCCTCCGCCAAAGCCAAAACCTCTGGACATAGAAACATTGCCTAGCTATGGTGAGTGAAAAATGATGAAATTAAAATGACCGAAAATGACGAGTAAATAAGGTACATTTCCTAACTGACTCTGACTGGCACTCTTGCTTGCATTGTCAGACATTTTTTCTCAGCATGTCTTGCATGTCGATCTCAGTGCTTCTTTCTGCCAAGGTAAGTTTTTGATTGAACTCGGTGGTCATTGGGCCAGTGCTTATCTTCGGGTTTCATAGTATGGAGTGACTAGGTAAGGAGTATTTGTACTCCACCTGGATGGGATACTAGCCCTGAGCATTTCATCTTCCAGTGCCTGGCCCATTTACAATAATTAAACACCTGCATGGAGAGAGACATAGTGTGAAAAAACTATCTTGCCAAGGAACACAGCACAATGATCGCCACCAGGGCTTGAACTCAGAAAGCTTGGTCCAGTGCGCTAACCATATTAGGCCACTGTGTTTCCCAGGACTCAAACAAGGTCTTCTCAACATGGAAATTATTAATCATATCTGCCCAGATTTGCCCATGATGTGTCTATATTATTTTTTTTACAAAGTTGTTTTCATTATTTCTCTTGGTACAGGTGTGTTCAGTCCAAGTGTTTGTAAGTTTATTTCTGTGAGAGATTATGAAAACCGCGACTCAGGAATTCTGGCCTGGGTGACATCCCTCACTGGGGAAGATCCTTTAGGAATTATAGAGTTAAATGAATTTGTTTTTGGAACAAACCCAAGGTAAGTGTCATGGCCAAGTTGTCGTTATTTAAAAGAATTCAAAGATAGAAAAACACCAAAGAGATCATGGTAGTAATAAACCATGGAGGAACAAGTTAGGATGGTAAAGAATGGAGAAGAATATTGCAGATTACAAACAAACTTGAAAAATTGAGGCTAAACTGTTCAAGATGTGTAAACTGTGACTTAGCTCCTTTAACTTGAGTAACTTTTTCTGAAGCCTACCCCTCATAATGAATTGATTATTTGAATATTGAACCCGCTAGTCATTTCAAGAATGCAATAATGAATTGATTATAGGAAAATTGAACCCACTAGTTGTTCCAAGAATATGGTTAATGGGTTTACTGTTCAAAAAAATCAATTCAATATTGATTTTTGAAATGACTAGTGAGTTCAATATTCAAATAATCAATTCATTATTGCATTCTTGAAATGATTAGCGGGTTCAATATTCAAATAATCAAATACATTAATGTAATCTTGAGGGGTATGCTTCACTTGGTTTGACTGTGAGGAAAATACAGTATTCACTCAGTGGCTGAATGGTCATCAACCATCCAAAATGCAACAGTGAATGGAAATCTTGTTAATATTAAACTTGACAGATTCTCTAATATAGGTACATGTATGTAATAATTATATCTAAGGAAACTGAAACATAAAATGACATATGATTATGATTTATGATTTATTATGATTTCAGAATTGACATTTTACACAGAGTTGTTGTTTGGCAAAGAGCTAAAAAGAGAGCAGTAAGTTGCTTTGTTGTCACTTAGGAGCCAAGCTGTTTTTATAGTTTTCCTTAAGTTTATGCCTGAAACTGGATAAAAGTCTCATTGTTGTAACATGGCAGTGTTAATAAGTTATTTGCTGTCATTTCACAGGGTACTGCTAAAGTCAAGAACCGTAGTGAGAGGAGAGGAGGTGGAAGAAAGCCTTGGAGACAGAAAGGAACTGGGAGAGCTCGGCAAGGCAGCATAAGGGCTCCTCAGTGGAGGAAAGGTACATTTACATGTACTTAGGGACTGTGGAACTGATGTGTTCAAGTATTGTCTCATGGGTATCACATTACTGTAAGATGGCAACTGACATGTTGTAAGGGTCTTTTTATTTACTGAGTGGCCCATTCCATATTGGAGCAGGGTTGGCGCAGTGGTGAGAGTGCTTGCCTCCCACCATTGTGGCCCGGGTTTGATTCTAACCTGGTGTTGGTTGAGTTTTTTTGTTGATTCTTACCTTTCTCCGAGGGTTTTTCTTCAGGTTCTCCAGTTTTTCTCCCTGCTAAAAAACCAACATTTCCAAATTCCAATTTGATCAGGATAGAGGACCTGCATGAAACCCAGCTAGGGCTGATGTGGCTTCATCTCTAAATATTATTTAATAAATAAATAAATAAATAAATAAATAAATAAAATATTTTTTTAACTAATTGAAATCTTATATCATTTTTCATAACATTAAGTCCCAAGGTGGTCAGAAGCAATTTGCTTCCTGAGGTGAATATTACAACAAATGAATGACATTGTGTCAATGAAAGGAGAAATGAAGTGCTGATAAAATGAGTGCATTTCCTTCAGGTGGCAGGGTACATGGTCCTGTACCAAGGAGCTACAAATACTCATTACCAAAAAAAGTCAGGAGAATGGGTCTGCGAACAGCTCTGTCAGTCAGATATGCTCAGGTCAGGTTCTCTTTCTGTTGTAATAATAACACACTTAAAAAAAACAAATATGATAATTCTACAGAATTAATATGCTATTTTAATATAATAGGGTCTGCAATGCATGTACATGTACATGGCTGTGTTGCTATAAAACAGATTACAGACCTATGGGCAAGTGGGCAATAAGCCATGATAAGTGAAGTTATGATGCTATTACAAAACACAAAAGGCACATTTTGTGTCATGAGTTTAATATACAAAAGCCCAATCACATGATTAATGACTGAACCTGCTATTGTCCAAAGATTTTGAAGAGATTCCAGAGGTTAACAACCGATTAACCAAAGATCAGTACTTAAGGTCAAATAAAGGTTTCCAAAACCTCCTGAGTATCATCATCCCTTTGAAACTCAGGTCCTCTGTAGAGGATCCCTATGGGAAATTGAATATTGGGACTGGGAAGGCATGTAGGGGACGATGGGAATAGGAAAAGGGCAGGAGTAGAGGCCTCTCTTCCCTCTTTCCCCTTCCCAGTGTTCCCTGTGTGCTTCCATTTTTCCCTCTCCCCAGCCTCCAAATTACCAGCTTACTGTCAAAGCATCACAAAAGAGCCCTCTGCAGAGGAGAGTGCCTTTGAAAAATGTACATGTAACAATTTACCTGAAAAAAATTTCCCCTTTCTTCAACAGGGTGACTTGCACATTGTTGATTCATTTGACGACATTGAGAGTGATCGGGTACGTGCTTAGTTTTAGTAATAACCTATTCTTTTGGAGGTCTGAAATACGGTAGGACTTTAAAGAAGTGAAAACTCCACCCTATCATGGAGGGCAAAGTGGCTTAATGGCTAGCTGAGCTGTTAATGAGCATGCTTTCTTCGTTATCATTGGGCATATATTGATAGACTGAGGGTTCCATTGAAATTTGGGAGAAAGGGATTAACAGGATAAGATATTCAGGCCTACTCCTCATAGGAAGTCTAATGGTTCATCTCCCCACCCCTCTAGAATTCCAGTGAAGATTTTCTGGAGCTGTTCATTAAACATGTCACATGCCATTGTATTCATGAATCCATCATTTAGATCAAAAAGGGTGAAAAAAAGGTTAAGTCTACATACAAGCCAAGTGGCCCATCAGGCCAGAGCTTATCCTGGTCTCTGTGGCATGAAATGACCAGGAATATTTCTTCTCCCCCCTGGATGGGATGCTAGTCCATTGCAGGGTTACCCTCAGTATTAAATGTTGTACCCATTTATACACCTGGTGGAGAGAGGCACTGTTACAGTAAAGTCATGTGTCTTTCCTAAACACACAGCACAATGCCCTCAGCCAGGGCTTGAACCTGGACCATTTGATCCAGAGTTGCATTCACTGACCATGAGGCCACCACCTAAGATAAGAGAAGAAAACAAATTTGAAGGACTGTGTAGAACCTTGTTTCTGTTTAGTAATGAATGAATGAATGAATGCATGAGTGAATGAGGACTTGTTGTTCTCTAAATTGCAGGATTTAATTCCACTTCTGGAGAAGAGAGGCTGGACAGATGCTGTCCTTGTTGATTCGTAAGTTGTTATGGATCCCTTTTACCAATTGATAACAAAATCTAATCCACTTATAATAAAATAATTTATCTTAAAGCAAATTGTTTGGACTGGATTAGATATTTATCTTACTCGTTAACAAGATAACAAAAGTAAACTATCGTACTATGGTATCGCAGGGCAAAAGTGAAATCGGTGCAGTAACCAAACAAACATCAATGTCTCCCTAGAGTTGATGCATCAGTTTTAGAAGTTTGGGGGTTGAGTCTTACTGTTAGATGTCTCTCACAGGGGGATAAAAAACAGGATGTGCAAAGAGGCATTCATGAGTATCAGTGTGCGTACTTTACTCTTGCCAGTGTACCTATAGCTAGCAGCAACAGTCATCATACAGGCAATGCTGTTTGATGCTGCAAATTTGTGAGCAGTAACACATTGTATTTTTCTTTTCCTACAGCAAACAAAATGAAATTCTAGTGGAAGCCGCTGCAGAGATGGAGAGAGTTGATGTGCTATGTCAGAAAAGTATGTTCTTAATAAGCCTTAGTCCATAGCTCAAACCATCAATTCCCCTTACCATTTTCCATACATTTTCCTCATAGTTTGTTCTGAGAATTTGGTAGTACATCAGGACTGCACATACTCTAGTTGACAGTTCTGCAAAGCTCAGAATGGCTGCTACTTTAGATGCTAATAGTCAGAAGAGTGCAAGACATGGTTGCCTGGGTAATAGTTAATGCACTGCACTCTGGATCAAGAGGTCTAGGTTCAAGCCCTGGCACTAACTTACTTCAGCAAATTTTTGTGACAGCTCATTGTTTGATGCTTCATTGCACAGTATTCCAAATGAGAAAATCAAGTTGAATAGGAACTCTAGTTAAACAATGGACTGTTGTCAGTAGTTTCTGGGCTGTACTCGCCCACAATGAAAATCAACTCAACATTAAAAATTGACAGGTTTTATTTTATTTGATATCACTAGGGATGTATCCATTTGGTGTTTGATTCTCCTACAATTTTTTTTTTGTGTGTGTGTGTTTGTGTGTGTGCATGTGTTGTCAAAAAAATAATGTTGATAATTTCAAAGCCAATAATTGCAAAAAGTTGATACATATGACAAAAAATTCTTGTCATAAACTAATTTATTTGTCTCCATTTCTAGAATTGGATGTTTACACAATATTACTCCGAAGGAATATCATCTTAACCCTAGATGCTGTCCAGGAGCTGGAAGATTATTACTGTGAGGATGACAGAATACTTAGAAATCAGTTTGACTAGTTTTTCCTTTTTCCAGTGTGATCACTGTGTAAATAATATTGCAGTTTGTTAGTAAAACAAAATTGATAACACAGTGTTATAGTTGTTTTTGGTTGGCATTAATTTTCACCTTGAAGGAGGTATGAAGGTCTGATGTTTAACCCCCCTTGGAGAAACTCCGATACAAAAAAATTGGGGATACTCATCCTAAAATTTGAATCAAACCCCTAAAGGAGACCAATTTGGGTGTGGCTCGGGCTTTATCTGACCTGTAAAAGATACCACTTAAATGGAATACGCTTGGTTACCAGCTGTTGTTCAGGAAAGGAGCCTGTGATACTAGACTTGACTTAAAAGACCAGCAGAAACCAGGCCCAAAAACAGAAATAAGAGCATTTTTATATTACTATAATTTCTTTGAGTGCACCCTAAAAGATGCTTTGACAGCTAAAAATAGTGACATTTTGTCATCAGTGACACCCTAAGTGAAACTAGAATCCTCAATTTATACCCCTGAGCAAGTCGAGCATCCCAAACCTTTTCACATGGAGTTCCCCGTCTCCCGGGGTTTAACACCTGAAAAGGTTCACCCATATCATAACCCCAAGCTGACAAAAAAAACAAGCCAAAACTTTCTGCAGTACGTGAAATAATTTATTACAATCAAATATGTATACATGTGACAATGTGCTTATAATTAACCTAGCCTAGGTGACTGTGTGAGTAAATTGTTCATTTTAATGTAGTAACTGGAAATTGTGCTTGACAACAATTAGTGTATGTTAAATATTTAATCACATTTATTTAGTGTATCGCTGGTTACTATTAAACTCTTGCCAAACTTGATCTGACTTCCCAGCGTAATGCTTGCCTCTTCTTATCTGTTGGAACTACGTATTTGTTGGGAACAAAGTTATGTTGTGGTTTCTGATTGAAAGAAAAATAGTAGAAGATTGAATTAGAATTACTAAAAGTAGGGTGAAAAACTCAATATTTATAAAACAGTAAAAGACAATTCACAAAATAGACCCTTTTCATAAATGGCTGCCAATTTAAAATTCTTTTGTATGCATTTAAATTAGCCTTACTGACCTCGTTTCAGAGTAAAAATTCTTTTGAATTACCAACTTCAAAATAATACTTGCAAAAGAATTTATAATTAGCCACCATTTATGAAAGTAGTCTATGCATTGTAAATTGTGATCTTAAATAATAATAAATTATTAGACTTTTATCTCAAGGTCCTGGGTGGTTGTAGGAGATCTAATTTACAGTGTACTATCCCTGAAACATGTTCTTTATTGCTCATGAATATAATTTAGTGTCAGAACAAGACGATGCTGCCAAGATGATTTCATTTCCTTTATTAACATCACCTCTTGGCTTAGAAAAGTCTTGATACCGTAAGGAGATTACAGTATAGTAACAGAAGTACAGTTATTGCCCAATTTGACTAACCTCAAACACGTCACACTGCAACATTTTTCCCTGGAAAATGCAAAGACCAACAATTATTATTGATGTTTTGGCTTCTAAATGTGTTCAGATCAATGAGATGAACAGAGCTAATTAAGCAGCCAAAATACTCATCTGTATAGGTGGGCTTATGAAACAACCACAGGACAACACAACAATCAAACTGACCATGTATACTTTTCAAACCCAAGGAGATTCCTCTCTGAAAGTACAAGACTAGACTAGTCCTTTTCACATGTATGCTAAGTACCAAACTTTCAGTCAAGCCTTGTCAATACAAATACATTATTAATAGCAACCAAGCATTCAGAACTGAAAGATCACTGATAATCAAATCATTACTAACCCTGACATTCCAACGCAGATTTTTGTGACTTTTTTCCCCTGGTGCCTTGTTTGCTTGCCATTCATACTTAAATTGGTGATATCTGCAGTCAAATGTGTTAAAAGAATAATGTACGTCATGTCACTGCAATTTTAGCAACTGCACACAATGTATAATACTCTCTGGTCACAAACAGTTAACCATTCAAATAATTAAAAATTCATCTAATAATTAAAATCCAACCTTGAAACAGGATCAGATTTCTTCAATTGCCGTGTATGAGGGTGACGAGTAGATGGACGAATAACTGCAAGGAGATGAGAAGTCTATCAACATTTTAACCATCCCATCAATTCTCAGTAACTTTTGACTACTTACTGCAATTGTTCTCACATTTACAATTTATAACTGACATTCATTTGCTTACCTGCAAGGAAATTACAAGATAAATACTGTTTAATAATATAATAATATTGTTGCTCCTAACAATACCTTTTTCACCTTGATTTTTTAAAAAAATAATTAAGTTCGGGGAATATATTATCCAACCTACAGTACTATATTATCCCTTGGATTGCCATATTTTTAAAAAAATTCAATTATACATAATTGATTATGAAATCTGGACAATAGAGCCAAAGAAAAATAACTCTCGGGTGTTATGACCACAAATGTTGTTATGGGCCTTAATTGTGCCCACTGGCTCGAAAAGCAATGATGATGGTGATAATGATGATGAAGATGAAGATGACAATCACAATGCTAACCTACAAGGGTCTCTGCAATACCAAATAATATTGGATACCCCTAAAAACCAAATAGAATCATTCCAAAGAAGCATCCCTTCAAAAATGTGTTAGGAACTTCAGTACTACTCACAGGAGGGTAATGCTCTGTCAGCATAATTTTCCCATGGTCGGTAGTCAGTAGGTTCCGTGGATCCTTCACTCTGTACGCTGATGACATCTGCTTCATCAATTTCACCTGTTGTGTTGACTGGAAGGTCTCTAAGTCTTTGCTCCAATTCAGATATATCTGTGACTAAAATCAACAGGGTTTGGTAACTTATAATACATGAATGGCAGCTAAAATCATTGAAAAAGAAGCAAAACATTTCATTGTTTGTTTCTTTTTCTAATTAATTAGTTACTATAATTAAATTAGGTGTGCTAATTTATGATTTCAATATTAGGAGGAAGTGTCAATTGACTGATTTCACTGTACATACATTATACAAGGAAATCAAAAACTAGATGATGAAATAAAGAAAAGTACAATTCACAGGAGATGAAATAAGATTTCACAACTTTAGTTACCATTTCTTTGCAATACAATGCATTAGTTGTACTCTAAACAATTTAAATAATAATGTAATTATTACATTTTTAAATTTGAACATACCTGAATCAGTACTTGCAAATGATTCATCAAACACTCTGGATTCACCATCTCTTCTTCTCAATACTTTTCTCTTGATATTCCTACTGCTTGGTCTGGATTGCTCAGACTGAGGAGAACTTTTGGCTGTGGAACTTGATTCTCCTCTTACTAGCCCAGGATTTGCTTGGTGGTGATGTAAATTCTCCTTGCCAAAAGGGTGATGACTTATCTAACATAACAACAAATTAGTTTGAAGTGATCAGAAAAATGCATTAAAATAATATTACAGTATCATAAGTAAGACAGGCAAAACCAAAGTGGAAAGTTCCAAGCCAGGAGTGGGCAAGGGTTCTCGTAGCAGGTAGCTTATTCTAATTCTTATTTCCAGGGAGTCATGCTGTAAGAGTTAAGAGTAAATAGAAAAGAGGGAAAGAAAGAAATTGATGTAGGAATACTCCAATATTATCTTTAGATGGGAATATCCAATTGGGTCTTTTATCAGAGCATCTCAAACAGGTTCAACCCTGTACAGAGTCTAATTCATTGTAAGTCTTAAACCCATAGGCTCTATAATGTACACGTTTGACACCGGCTGGGCAGCAAACCGTTTAAAGTACACACTTAGTTGAATCCTGATTATTTTCTCATGCCCTCAATTTCTGATCCTCCCAATCCTCACAATAACTCACACCAACAGTCATTTCCCTCTCCTCGGTCAAACACTGTAATTTTACCCCCAATTTCTCAACGTCTCTGATTTTTCCAACCAATTTTACTGTAGATTCCCTTGGAGGTTTGAAAAATCAGGATTCTACTGTACATGTGGTCTGTTGGTATGTGCCAACGAAAGAGAAAATAAATAAAACACTGCAGAAATGTGCATGAATCGCTGATGAAAACATTGTCATATTCACTGCTTAAACTGTTCATTGATTCACAGACTTAAAAATACCTTTGTCAGAGTTGGTGCAGACTTTGTCCTAGGGAAAACAGTGTCCTCCAAAGGGGATCTGTAACTATCATTCACATGGTGCCGTTCTTTGCTACTGTCAAAAACTAAATAATAAGAAGAATTACACAGTCAGGACATCAATAATTTTCAGCTTTTAAAACTGTGTTGTAGTCAGGCTTATTCATGATTTGTGTTGTTGGGATAACTATGTCTAACTGCTCAACACACTATTTAATTACTCCACAGGACTAAACGTATCTTTACTGGTAGCTGATCTTTTAAGTAACTTATTTATTCAGTAATCATTATTGTTCCTTCATGATCAGTTCCAATTATCTCACTACCTGTACCCTTACATTGTGTTACTATTTTAAGGAGAAATTAGACTCAGATCATGATCACTGTAAAAAAAAAAAAAGTCTCAAACTGATTGACGATCCTTTATTTAGTATACATTGCATACCATTTGAAGATGAAGAGGTTTCATCTTTACTTCCCTCTAAGTAACTGTCAGTATAATAGCTGCCACTGACGGATGATGGCGTTTCTTGACTTCTAAGATGCCTGCTCTCGCTGGAGCTCGCTCTCTCCGATTCAATTAGTTGTCTGAGATCTAAAAACAAAGTTTGTTCAAAGTCACTTTAAACTTATATTCTAGCATGTACACTGCAAATTAAGCTGTATAATCAAAACAACCCAAAAAGGGTCACCAAAGTATTCAAAATTGCATTGATCGATCATTCATAAAATAGATCAAAGCCCCAAGAACTTCAATCTACAAAGTAACGACAACAAACCTCTTTGAAATAGTCTTAGCTTGTCACTTGGTATATTCGAATAGCCAAGCTGTTCTAGCTTTCTTTTGATCTCTTCTTCCGTGAAGTCGAAGCTCTCAGCCATGATTTCACAGCGTTTTTTACGAAATTAAGTTTCCACCATTTGCTTGAAATCAACAACAGCAACGGTACTTCTAGTGCCCAGACTCCAGCGTGTGAATAGCCACGTGGTACATCTCGCTGAGCGTAAACAATGGAAGGTTGAAGATGTCAGTGACCTTTCCGCGAAATTTTTTCCATGCACAACTCACGTGAGCGCATCAAATATCGTCTACAAGGAACCTTAGACCTATTCTGCGTGTTAGTGAGTTTGCTGCGAGGTAAGTAATATTCCAATTATTCATTGTGAAAATTTCGTTACGTAAGCTTACTTTTCCGCTGGTCTAAAAGTCTATTTGGCCATGGAATAATTTACGAAAATTTAATCTTTTGTAGGAACGATGTTTGTGCCTTTGATCTTTATAGCTTTGCTGTGTCTGAACGTCGCCTCGTTCAGACTCTTCAGGTATTGTTACTTTTTCTGTTTCTCGCATCTGATAATAAGCTTATAATCAAATATTAATTAAAAATTTCACTTATCGGAGTGTTTTACAAACGAGCGCCCAAGCGGTGTTAGGGCTCCCAGCCACTTTCGTATGGAAGAAAAGAAACTCGGAGCTGCAGGAGGCCAGGCAGAAACAGACAATCGCATAAGCTTACGACATACATTTACACATCGTAAGTTGAAACCAGAGTAACATCTACAGACAGAGTGAGAGAATTATTACTACCCTTCTCATCTACGTTTGGTTTGTTCTAGTTTTAATAATATCTTGTATCCTAGGTATAGACTAATGTCACCTGAAATGAGCTTATTTCCGCGTCCCTTTGTAAGCTGATATATGGTTTATAGTCGTATTAATTACACTGTTAACTATTTCAGTTTGGTAAAACTGTGCAATTTATGGGTTACCATATACCTATTACTGCATACAGGGGAATTGGCAGCTATTCGGGTCATGGAATGGAAACCATAGTCAAGTCTTGCTGCCTAACAACCTAAGGAAGGACCCCATAAAAAGTGACAAGGGTGATCAATTTCCTCATACCTTTACATCTGTGCTTGTGTAGCCATACTCATCCCCCACCCCCACCCCCACTCCCCACTCCAAATGAGGAAAAAAGGGAGGGAGGTGATAATATGTCATTGTCATGGCACATAGCATGTTTTGGGGCCAGCTCTTTGTAGATGTTGTCTCCCATGTGTTCTTCATTGGGAGGGGTACAGTCCCAGGGTGGCACTAAAAAAGACTGGGATGCTCGTCAGAACGTTTGAAAAGAACCCCTAAGAAGTACCCAGATCCTGTTTTGTGGGAGTGGCTTGAAGTTTTTTTCTCCCCTAAGAGGTACCAGTATTCTGACATAACACATTATCTCTTGTCCTATTTTTTTGGTCCAATATCCTAAAAGATACTGCAAAGCTCCCACTGTGGACCTTTTGAGGTTGAACATCCCCATCCTTTTTATATGGGAGCCCTGACCCTCCCATGGACAGTCTTTCAGGGGGGGGGATCTTTTCAAAATTTCCAGCAATCAACCCTTTTCCTCTTACATGGTCATANTAACACGTTATCTCTTGTCCTATTTTTTTGGTCCAATATCCTAAAAGGTACTGCAGAGCTCCCACTGTGGACCTTTTGAGGTTGAACATGCTAAGAGATACCAAAAAAACATCCCCATCCCTTTTATATGGGAGCCCTGACCCTCCCATGGACAGTCTTTCAGGGGGGGGTATCTTTTCAAAATTTCCAGCAATCAACCCTTTTCCTCTTACATGGTCATACCCCCCACCCCCCACTTGCAAAGATCTATTGAAGCATTTGCTTAAGCCTTGTGATGTGGCTCTGTTGATCTTAATGGTTGAGTGGACTTGCTCTGACCTAAGCCTTTATAATCAGCAGCACAGAATATGATGATGGTGCCGACTTCAATCTGTTTGTTTTCACTCAGTGGTGGCCTCAGACGCAATGCCAATATGCACTTGTAAGTGTGAGCTTAAACTGGAATTGTTACAAATACACCTTTTGCCCTTCATAACCAGGAAATAAATTTTCATTAGTACGAAAGTATTGGTCAATAGCATTTAAAATCAGTTTAGCTAAATAAGATGCAAACCATTTTAATTTGTGTGATACTCATTAACGCAATTTGCATCGAAAGGACAATTCTTTAAGACTAATTTTAACAGTGTTTTTATGAAAACAACATTCTTTTGCGGGAATGAGGATTCATATATTTTGAATTCATGTTCAATTTTGCAAATAAAATTTCAATTACAATGGATTGCTTGGTGAGAATTTTTGCATCAAATTCCCTCTGGGTTCTAGGGGACATTTAAATACAAAGCAAAACCACTTCATAAAAATCTTCTTCTAGAATGGAGCGTAGGGTTGCTCTGCAGTTCAACAACAGCTAAACGATATGCAAGAGGCAAGATGGCACGGTATAATCCTCTAGGAAACTACCGTCAACAAATTCTTTTAAGAATAGGAAGAAGAGATACCAACACTGTAACAGTTGGAAAGTGTGCCCAATGGTTTAGGTGTATGCAAACCTATATACCACGATGTCTTAGCAGGGAGCATATGGAAGGATATGCATAAAAGTACATTAGACTTGTCTCGTTGCCGTTTAACATCATATATTAAATGATATTTTGTTGTTAATGAAATTCTTTTCTCATAAATGAACATTAATTAAGAGGAAGCAATATTGTTGCTACATGATCTTTAATGATTGTTATTTCCATTAAAGTGAAACTACATGTGCCTTTTAATGAATGTTCCTCTCTAAGTAAAAATCGTTATTGATTACTCTAAAATTAAAACGCTTGTTTACTTTTAAAGCATGATTACACATTCATTGTAATGACTGATTTTTGGGCGCTAATGAAAATATATTTTCTGGTAATGAAGGGCAAGTTAGGTGTAAATAAATTTCTAGTCCTCGCAGTTCTGTCATTTCCTTAATTAAGTACACCATTTTTCTTCCCCTATAAGGGCAATGTGAAGAACAAAAGTTGTGTACCATCGGGAATTACAAAGTGGACAATCCATGGATTGTGGTATGATTTAATGTGCCGCGGGTTATGTCTTGATGAATTCCAAGCCTGTAAAAAATTATCTGGCAGTTACATTTACACTATGGAGTCAGTAGCGCAAAAGAAGTTTAACTCTGACTTTTAAATTCAAAATGAGTGCTACTCCTATTAATCAGATATTAGTCCTGTATTAGTTACTTACTTGACGTTACCATTATTTTATTTTTATCCTGTGTAATGTAACCACCATATGGCCTGTTATCAATCTGAAATTTTTCTGATTGTGTGAAGTACACAGTGGCAGATCCAGACCTTGAGCTAAGGGGGTTGAGGGAGGGGGGGTTGTTTTGCTTGCCCTGCTGGCTTTTCTTCCTTCTGTGATTTCTTCATTTTTTACCCAAAATAAGGGGGGGCCCGGGCCCCTTCCCTAGAACCACCACTGATAAATGTCTACTTTGTTTGACTCCAAGTTACAATTGTGCAATAGCTGGTCAGTGTCAAATGAGAAAGAAGCTGCATCAGAATTGAATGAATGTTTTTCTTGCAGGCCTACTGTTGGTGAAGAACATAAACCAGTGTACTGTAATAGCTCATGGCCTTTTAATGGGGGAGACATAGAGGTAACCTAAGCTGAGGACCTCTGGCATGTTAAAAGTCTCTTACTAGAAAACATGAGATATAATAATCTTAAGACTTAGTGTTTATTATTTTAAGGATTTGAAACCAAAACTGGACTTACAGTGGCCATCTTATGATTCCCCTGATGCAGCTGAATTTTGGTATGAATTGTTGTTTTTGAAAGTGATGTTATCAGTGGGATCCTAAAAGAATAAATCAATAAGTAATAGTAATAGTGATAGTGATAGTGATAGTGATAGTGATAGTGATAGTGATAGTGATAGTGATAGTGATAGTGGCAGTGGCAGTGGCAGTGGCAGTGGCAGTGGCAGTGGCAGTGGCAGTGGCAGTGGCAGTGTCAGTGGCAGTGGCAGTGGCAGTGGTAGTGGAAGTGATAGTGATAGTGATAATAATAACAACAATTATGTTTATCAGGGAACCCAACTCACCGTGGGGGCTTTCAGTAGGACCCTTAAAAAAAATATATATTTTAAGTGAACAATAAAACTTAAACAAAAATTAAACAAAACTAAAAAAAATAATTTAAGGAATATTAAATGGAGAAATAGCATCAACTTGGGAAAAACCTGAGTTCTAGTTACATAGAATTTGAACCCAGAGCCCTCCATGATCTAGCTGGATGCTCTAGCCACTGTGCTACTTGAGACTCTATGGTGAGCAAGGGTGAAATATGGGTCCTTGACTGGAACCACATCACATGGTCACACAGCCAAATAATGACTTGGCACATAATTTATGATGGCAGAACTCATATTATACTGCACTGCGCTGTTACTTTGAGGCATATCAAAGATGCATCCAACTATCCGCCAAAGTGAGTAATATAATGATATGCCTCAATGTGACTGTCTATCCACCAGACAGTCAGTCAGTCTGTCTGTCTGTCTGTTAGTCTGGCTGTTATTTAGTTTCATGTCACTTGGTCTGACTCTGTCTACCTGCCTGCCTGTCTATCTGTCTGTCTGTCTGTCTGTCTGTCTTCCAACTTGTCTGGCTACCTGTCTGTCCATCTGTCTCTGTCAGCCAGCCTGCCTGCTAGTTTGCATACCTATTTGACTGCCTACTGTCTGTCAGTGTGTCTCTCTGCCAGCCTACCTGCATGTCTGCCTACATTTATGTCAATGTATCTGTCTGCCTGCCAGTCAACCTGTCTGCCTGTCAGGTTGCCTGTCTGTCTATCTGTCTGTTTGCTAGCTTGTCTGTCTGCCCACCTGCCTACCTACCTGGCTCAATTTCTGCCAGACTAGTATATCTGTCTGTTTGCCAGTCAGCCAGCCAGCCAGCCTGCCTGTCAACTGTCTGTCAGTCAGTGTATTAAAAAGCAGATGCGCATGTACATTTCTACCAAGCAATCAACACTGAATAGAATAACTTTCATTTAGAGAGCCTCCAGGCTAAGTCACTGAAGAGTACAGGTGTGTAGATATGTATTCCTCACAACCCTCCACACCTTAATATTTGACATCTTTTGTTTCTTACAAAGGAAACATGAATGGGAAAAGCATGGCACATGTTCAACCAATCTTCCTTTCCTAGACTCAGAACACAAGTACTTTGAAGTCTCTCTGTCGTTAAATGTCAAGTATGATATATTTAGGTAAGAAGTTATTGTGGTGTGTAACTATGGATTATTATTCTATAGTAGCAGATTCAACTGTTAGAGCTCAATAAATCACTGTCATTAATTGATCGTTATCGTTTGGATTTTTAATCTGGAATTTTAAGAAAGAAGTCCGGGTAATATCACGCTTATATCTAGGGCTATTATTCTCCCTCAAAATCCCGCATTACCAACGTGACGGCATGATTTGGTATCTCATTAAGATGAACCTACCTGACCAGCATTTCATTAAGCCAGATCTGGATTCATATCCCGTTGATTCAGTGGTTATCAGTTCATGTAGTCATCTATTTAAGCAATAGAACACTTTTTCCGTGTTTACATAGCCTTATCTAAACACGAGGAGGGTTCGGAGAATTCGAGACAGTTATGCAAACCCGAGACATAGTCGAGACATATGTCTCGGGTTTGCATAACTTTCGAGAATTCTCCCAACCCCCGAGTGTTTAGATGAGGCTATGTAAACACGGAAAAAGTGTTCTATTGCTTTTATAAAATAATTCTCCAAAATACGAGCGAATCTAAAACGTCACGACCGTTTTTACATACTCTCATCTAAACACACCTATCGACCAGTGAGAGCTCGCGTAGTAGCTCAGTTATTTTATAAAATGTACCACTATTTTGCTTTTCGAGTTTACCACTACTTTCTACGTAACACTGCACTTGCTATCCTTTCATGTGTTGGTTTGTCTGTTTGTTTGTAGTGTCCTACAACAGAGCGGAATTGTACCATCTAACGAGAAGGCTTACCAGGTACAACAGGACTTCTCTTTTTTTTGTCAGAATAAGGTCGCACGTAATCTCCGCCACTTACCATATTTGACACATAGGACGCGTGCTGCAGGGACAGTACGTAAGCTGGTGCACCCGATGCAGATATTGGTTCATTTCTATATTGTAGCGGAGACAGTTTGCTAGAGCCGTGCACACGATGCGACAATGAAAACTTAAGGTCATTTTCTCCCTGCTACATGACGGACGGATTCAAACCTGGTGAATTTCGTGCAACATGCTGCCGGGAAAGAACTTTGTCACAAAATTGTTTTATGAGGAAATCTGTCACTGCAACCCTCGTGGGGGGTGGGGGGGAGGGGGGGGACTTCCGTATAAATAGGACGGGGGTGCTTGTCGTACCTTTAAGGGGTTAAAAAGCAATTTTGGTATCTCTTAGGGTGTTTAGTCTCAAAAGGTCCACAGCGGAAGCTTTTGTGGTAGCTTTTAGGGTATTGGGCCGAAAACAATATGACAGGAGTTAATGTGTTGTGTTACAATTAGTATCTCTTAGAAGTGAAAAAGATTTCAAGCCACGCCCACAAAACAGGATCTTAGTACTTCTTAGGGGTTCTTTTCAAAATTTCCTACGAGCCACCCCGTCCCCCATCCTGTTTATCTGGAATTCCCCCGGGGCGCTGCAACATGTCACCGCTTCATGTCCCTGCAGCATGCCCCCTTATGTGTGCCGACCTTTAAGATTTAAGACTCGGAAATTGTCCAGCCAAAGGTTGTTTATAATCCTACAGATTTGTCTCACATTTTTACATTTTTTTGCAGGTGAAGGATATTGAGCGTGCTCTTTTGGACGCTTACAGAGTTCATCCCACAGTTTATTGTCTGCCTGTTAAGGTAAGAACATCTTCTCTCTCCTAGGGTGTGCACATTTGATCGCCTGTGAAGTTAACGCATGGTTGTACATTGTTGTGGGGTGTAAGGTACCGTCCACACTAGCGCCGGAGGAATTCGAAAACGCGGCTCTATTTCTCTGGTTAGGCCTACCGTCCACATTAATCCGTCACGAAAACACCCTTCAAACCGGAGGAATTTGAAAACGCCGGCTTTGCGATTTAGAGTGGACAGAAAACATTTTGAAAACGGAGCTTTTCGAAAACGATGGTATCAGGATAAAAAATAAATAAATAAATAAATAAATAAATAAATAAATAAATAAATAAATAAATAATGTGTTTTTCCTGCTCTAGTTTCCTCAAACACAAATACAAAACGACCGGTGATTGTTGCCTTTTCAAATTCCTCCGGCGTAGCGTGGACGTGGCGCACGCGTAAACACACGAGAAATAATGCACCCGGGCGTTAATTTTTCTCTCTCGCACGTTGCCTCTGTCGCTCGCTCGACATTTTTACTTGTTTTTGTAAGAAGAAGTCTGTCAGCACGGACACTTGGCAAGTGCGACTGATTTGTTTTACTTGGACGAAATGTCTTCAAGCCTCAGAACAACTGGCCGATTTTTTTCTCAGGCGTTATCAGTTGTTTTGTTTGCTCAGTTTACGCGAAATCTGTTGACACGAATTTTATCTCGTGAAGACATTTTTTCCGACAAGCCAGGGGAGGAACATGGCAATTTTCAGTTTAATCGCTAAACGTTGGAGTGTTGCAATGGAGGGCATTTTTAGCCTTTGCCAGTTTGTATATGGGAATGCTGATAAAACAGCCTTTATTCAGTTACTATTTTCCACTCCAGTCGTGGGCTGTAGAACAGGCAGTTGAGCTGGTGCAAAGCGCGAAGCGCGAAACGCAGAGCGCGAGACGAGAGCGACAGGCGTTTACTTTCCACGCGCTGCACGGCTAAACCGCCTGCTCTGCTGGCCACTCCAATCGGTCTTGTGAACACACAGCCCATAAGGAAAAGTTTCTCGATTACTCAAACATGTCTCGCTGTTTTGTCTTTTAGGACTCTCCTCAGATGTTAAGCTATGTTGAGTTGTGCCTGAGTAAATTAGAGCTGGGTCCAATTAACTGCATGAACAGCACCGCCGACTGTGATTACAACAAACCCGTGCAGTACCCCCCTATCGTTCCTGTAGATGGCGTGATGTAGAAGCATGCTTATTTACCAATCAGATTTCGCCAGTACGCCAGTACGAGAGACTGGAATGACATCTTTTTAGGGCCTTTTTTGGGGGAAGGGTGGGGGTGGGTGGAATTGGAATGTCTTTGAGGGGCTTACGGGGGGGGGGGGATAGGCGTTGGGGAACAAGGGGGAAATGTGCATTCATTTCACAAACAAGATATATTTTTGAATTATTTTGAGGGACCAAGAGATTTTTCTCTTCGCAAAGTAGTTCAATTATCAGACGAAGATAAAGAATGAAATTTAAAAAAATTAAAACGCTCTCAATTTGTATATTAAAAGAGCGCATTTTGACCTGTAGAATAGGTTTTTTCCTACGATCCAAGAATCCACGGGAATAGCAATCTCTTCTGGGAGAAGCAAAATATAATTTATTCTTTGTAATACTTTATCGGTACAATAAAGATCGTCTTGTCATTTTTACTTTCAAAGTAATGTTGTGTGTGGTTCTTCAGTCAAACTGTGGTATTGACATTGTCATTGACAATCAAAGAGCCCAGCAAAACCAAAGCAAGGACATGATTTTCGGCTGTCAATATGAAACCTTTGATTGGTAAAAAAAAAAATGCGGGAAAAGTATTCTGACCAATTACAGCAAACATGCTGCATCTCTCAACCAATCAGAAGCAAAACCTAACCACTCGTGGCTTGCGTTCGGAGCACTTCCCGGGCTTTCCGGCGCCGGTTTCATCTTATTTTTTTTTTATATTATTTTTCTATTCAAATTCTGATTGTTTACTTGTGTCTGTTGTGATTGGACAGATGTAACTGCTTTGGTTGTGACACAATCATTAGAATCGGGACCGGGCACCGGAATACGTTATCAACCCAATATTCAGATGGACCTTTCCACAAATATTCAGATATTTTTTGGGTTATTTAGAAGTTTCCGAGATATTTAGAAAATGTTAAGATATTTAGAAAATTTGGGGATATTTAAAAACATTCATAGAGTTTTTGGGCCTAGCCCTGTGTTTTCCTCGCTATTTTCTTGAAGTAAGACTCAGTTTTATGCTAGAAACGATACAGTTCAACGATTTCTCACTTGCAAACTACATCCATATCAATAAGAGCGCTAGGGCAGCAATTTCTCATGGCGGATGCTGGTAACATCGAAGCGCCTGAATCTTCTTCGTTACCCTGCGAGCAGAGGTCCTCTCGATCTTCCTAGAAAAGTCGACTACTGAAAGAAACTTTTGCACATTTTGGCCTAAGTGATTCAAAATCGGTGTATTCTTACCACACAAGAGCTATTTCGAAGGTTTTCCGAGATATTTGGAATGTTTTTTGTGATATTAAGGAGATTGTTTGGGAACTTCCGGAAAGATATTTGGGCGATTTTACGTGATATTTGTGGAAATGCCTACCACCAGATCTATTCTAAATAAAACTTAATCTTAGAGGGAGTTGGTTTTTTCGCCTTATACTCAGTATGTGAGAGGTGCTTCTCTAATTTACTTCCGCTCTGTAACCCTGTTACCCCAGAGAAGCACTCACATTGGTTGCACCCCTACTTCGGTTCAAGCTTGGTTCACAACAAATTATCCTCCGAAACGCACGCTGGAAATCTTGATGCAGCGCCCCGTACAGCACAGGGTTGACTGCCGCGTTGAAAAACACGAACACTGTCGAACTGTACTCCAGCGCGCGCGGGACAGCCTCGCGGCCCTCGAAGATCGCCCAGAGGTTCGCGATTCCTCGCGGAATCCAACAAAATACAAACGCCATGACGACTGCGAGAAGCATCTTTGTGACACGCGTTTCCATAAGTTTACGTCGTCTGCTTCGTTTCGCGCGAGACAGGGTAGACGTGCTTCTGAGATCCGAAAATCCCATTTCCGTGATGTTGTCTTTAGATGCAGTGATGTTATCTGTTGATGCGGCAATGTCATCTATTGACGCAGCGAGGTTATCAAAAGTCACACTCCTAACAGCTCGTGGAGTTCCCGCCTCGCTGTTGCTTCTGCCAGATTCAGTCCGATCTTTGACTTCTCTCTGCGATAATTCTAAACTCATCGTTTTCTCAAATATCCGCTTGCCTTGCAAGCGAACATGTTTGTAAATGTTTATGTAAAGAAAACCAGCCAGAATTGACGGTATAAAGTAACACATCACCTGCACGGTAATCGCATATGACATTTCTTCGGACCAGACAATATTACAAAATAGAGTGCCTTGTATGAAGCCGAGCTTGCCCCATCCAAAGAACGGCAGTAGAGTCCATATTAAAGAATAAAACCACCCCAAAAGAACAGTAATTACAGTTCCTTGTTTGTTACAACGTGACTCGTACGCGTGAGGGTGTGCTACAGCAATGTACCTATTTACACTGATGTGGAGCAAAGCCATAATTTGACCCGCAGTTAAGAAGGCATTTATGAAACCCGTTAGCTTGCATATTGCCGAAGGCAATACCCATTCCTGTGTCACTGCTAACGTCATAACAAATGGCACTATTGTGACCGTAATCGATAAGTCCACAAGGGCCAAGTTTACCACAAGAATGGCGGCTGTAGTTCGGAGACTTTTGGTGCGGCGAACTGCGATCATCACTAAGATGTTCCCGAAAATAGCGAATACCATTGTGCAGCCCATCGCGACGACAGAAACCAGAGATGCGGTTGATATTTTCTCAACTGTGCTGCTGCGATCGGACTGATTAGTCAAGCGAGGAGGAAAAGATCCGTTCTCCATTATCATGCCAAAAAAATTAGCTTCTAGCATCAACCGGAAAAACCTGAAAACGCAGCGAGGTTTTGGAGACTTGATCTGCCTGCTAGAAATCAACTGCTCTTTGGATTGGTGAAGTCCGCAAAAGATTACATCAGCTATGTAACATCCTTTCAGATGATTTAACAACTTAGAAATCGACGACGCTAATTTCTCTGCCACCCACCAACATCCGGGAAAAAGGAGGTCATAATTTCTTTTGTCAAAACGAATACTGCCATCGAATTGTGACAAAATACTTCGACTTTCTGCCCTGTCAAAGCCGGTTTTGCCAATGACCCGAAACGCCTAATTTGGGCCGCAGACTTCCGTAACGTAAAACTCAGTGTACAATTACACTGTACTATGCAAACGACGGGACTCCATATTTAGAGAGCAATCTCTCAAGGACGGTAGCTATATTGTTTTCTTTTCCATAAAATAGAGGAAGTCAATTCACCGCAATAGTAAAACTCGAAAGCGATTGGTTGATTTTTTCATGCGTTTGTTGGCTTATCAAGTTTTTAAAGCTATTTTTGCCACAGAACTGTCAATTTTGTTTTAGTCATCAAAGATTAAAAATATAGGCGAATAACTTCAAATTTAATAGTACACTTAAGATAGGTTCCAAATTCAGTACTTAATTTTCGTTTCCCTTCTGATGCTGCTGAAATAAGTGGGCACTTGTTAAAACATTTCTTGACATGTACACAAATATTTCCCGGCTTGTCAAACTAAAACAAACAAAGTCGAAAAACGTCTGTATTAATTCGCATTGCCTTGCGTAAACGAAATACTTTATTTGCAAAAGAAGACTTACATTGACTTAAGACTTACGTAAGGACCACTTTACAACAAGAAAAACACAGTTGATGAAGAAAAAAAAGATCGTGGACAATTTGAATTACATTGAAGCCGAAGTACTGTAATATGGAGAGTGGGGTACGTGAGTCATCCGATGCTATGTTTGGGCGTTCGTTTTCTTCAATTTATCATTTAGAGCGAGTGATAAAAAACCATCACGAAATATTTCTAAATTGGTGCCATTCTGGTGAGAAAAAAATCTTAAAATAGCTACCGGAACTGTTATTTAAGATGAAAATCCTATTTTTACCTCTTGTTCCAAATGGAAAAAACAACTTCAGTAGAATATTTTTTAATTAATCAGGAGCTAATATCGATTTCCTTGTAATCTGATTCCCAAGAGAAAATGATCATGATGGGAAAACGCACCTGTCGGTTATATTTTGGCTTTGAAGAAGGAAGAAGATCTGTCAACTATCTATATTTGATTTGATTTTTGTTACGTTGCCAAGTCAATTTGCATTTTGCCAAGTAATTTGCCCAAGAGTTCGGATAAACGGAACGCGCGAAACAAGCTTCGTGGAACAGCCAGAAATATAAACTATTTCGCGTGATTTATTGCAAGTAATTCTGTGTAACCCATCTTTCTCATTTATTTTATTTGCTGTATTACAGTTTTAGGAAATGTTTTGGTTGTGCGTAGACCACTAGTGCCAGCCCCTTTCAAGTGTGTGGTCCCGCCCGAAGCGCAAAGCAAGACTTCGTTTAGATCCGATATACGTTTTTTGCGTTTGTCCAAACCTTTCAAAGTGAAAATTAGTGATAAAGATGAAAAACGATTAAAAAACTACGTTTCGATGCTATCCGGACCGCAACTTTCAGCTAGTAACACTTTTCCAACTCATGTATGCAACTGGGTTCGATTTCGGCCACTCTCTCGCGTCCGGTCCTTAGGGTGTCAAACTCAAATCGTAATTTTTCACCCTAATTAAAAATGATGCCAGGCAGCCAGTGGCGTCGAGAAGTCATTTTGCATCGTTATTATTTGTTTTGGAAATGAAGTATTTGAACAGACAATACCAAATTAACGGCTAACACAACAGAAAGTTTAGAAATACAGTGGGCTACACAGACTTCATAGCATTTGGGTTTGCAATCGTCGCTAGTTCAGCAAAATTCAAGAAAACCCGAATTTCACAATTTTGGGTTTCGTATCACCTCTTTCCAGACTTTCAGCTTTTACTGGAAAGAAAAACGTTTGATTCCAGCTTTACATAAAGACAAATTTTAATGGCAACGAATAGCCAAGCTATTCGAAAGTAATTTACTCCTGAACGGAATAGTAAAGTGTCACTACTGGAGTATCTGTACCCGGGGGGTGTCCCATATAAAGAAGCTGGGAGTGCTCGTCGTACCGGTTTGGTATCTCTTAGGGTTTAGCCTCCGAAAAAAATATGACAGCAGATAATTTGTTGTTTTAGAATTGGTACTTCTTAGGGGTAGTTCCAGCCAAGCCCTCAAAACAGGATCTTGGTACCTCTAATTAAGGGGTTCATTTCAAAATTTCTGGCGGGCACCCCCGTTCTTTTCCTGTGGGAGTCCCCTCCGGGATCAGGCAAACCTTGGCGTTCTCTTCCCCAGTTCTCCTCAACGATTGACAAAAATGGCGGCCGAAGAGAAGGAAGTGAACGCATCAAAGAAACTTATAAATAACTCATTGAATGTTGTGGATGAGGCTTTAGAAGGATTTGTTGCTGCAAACCCTGGACTAAGGCTGTTAAAAGGCCACCGAGTTGTTATCCGTGAAGATGTAGACGAGCTTCGGAAGGCTGGGAAAGTTACTCTCATTTCCGGGGGAGGCAGTGGCCACGAGCCCGCACAGGCAGGTTTTGTGGGGAGGGGGATGCTTTCTGCTTCTGTGTCTGGTGATGTGTTCACCTCTCCTCCAACCACGTCTATTCTCGCTGCCATAAGAGCGGTCGGGAAACACAACAGTGGTGGAACTCTCTTGATTGTGACGAATTACACGGGCGATCGTCTGAATTTTGGGTTCGCCGCGGAAAGAGCCGTCACCGAAGGAATGAAAGTTGAAATGGTGGTAGTAGGGGAAGACTGCGCCCTTACCAGCAAGGACAAAACG